CTGCAGTAGAGCAGCCAGCAGCCAGTACACATGTCTGTCAGAACGCGCCAGTCAGCCAGTGAGTGAGTGCCAGCGTGCCAGCGTGCTGCGTGCAGGGACAGGAGAGGAAGGTGGGAACGTTGTGTGTGGTGTATTTTTGGCGCACTGTGGAAAACGACAAGCTGCTGAAGCAAGAACAACGGACACGGACGACAATGAACGACCATGACGTGGAGCATGGAGGGCGAAGCCAAAGAGGAAGAGGTGGTGGTGGTGGAAAGCACGCCACGACCGCGGCGGTGCTGGTGAGCATGGCTGCGCTGGTGTGCGCGGGCGTGTACCTCGCGTGGAACCAGGACGTCGCGTTAGAACTCCTGGCGTGGTTGGAGGCCTCTCCCATGCATGTCCGCCTCATCGCCTTTGCCCTCTTGTACATCATGGCTTCCCTTCCCATGATGCTTGGCTGCGTCGTCCTCAACGTCACAGCAGGTACTTTTGTGTGTGCGTGTGTGTGTGTGTGTCTGTGTGTCTGTGTGTCTGTGTGTCTGTGTGTGTATGTACTTTTGTGTGTGCGTGTGTGTGTGTGTGTCTGTGTGTCTGTGTGTCTGTGTGTCTGTGTGTGTATGTACTTTTGTGTGTGCGTGTCTGTGTGTGTCTGTGTGTATGTACTTTTGTTTGTGTGTCTGTGTGTCTGTACTTTTGTGTCTGTCTGTCTGTCTGTCTGTCTGTCTGTCTGTCTGTCTGTCTGTCTGTCTGTCTGTCTGTCTGTCTGTCTCTGTGTATGTGTGTTTGGAAACGGGCTTGGGCAAAGCAGAGGCTTAGAGATGCTTGATGCATGCAACCCACACTCACACCAACCTTACATTCACACACACACACACGTGTGCGCGCACGTAATGTGAACACGCATTCACGCTCCACCAGGGTTCCTGTTTGGGTTCTGGCTTGGCTGCGCTGTGAGCGTGGCATCGGCCGTGTTGGGCGCGGTGCTCGTCACCCACGCGTCGTGGTGTGTGTGTGTGTGTGTGTGTGTGTGTGTGTGTGTGTGTGTGTGTGTGTGTGTGCAGTACTTGCAGCTCTTTCTATGCGTTGATGTAGTACTGTGTCGTGCTTCGTCTGTGCTTCACGCTCACCTGAATACCCGCACCCCAACGTAACACACTCCTGGTAGACGGTGGCTGCTGTCATGATGACGGTTGCTGTGAGCATTCTGACGCGGAGAGAGCTTCGCCGTTTGCACATGCACACCCTCGTTAATGGCAACCCAGCCTACAGTCCCGCAGCCAGTGCCAATGACAGGGGCAACGGTGATGGCGCCGCCGGCGGTGGTATTGATGATCGCTTTGCTGCAACTACAGCGGCGACCATGCAGACCACCAGTTCGCGTGGCCGTGCCACTCGCGACCTCCTTCAAAGCGACAGCCCTCACCACACGCTCGTCAACGTGGGTGCCCAGACCAGCCCTCACGGTCCCAGCACCAAGTCCACGGCGTCCACGGCGGGCTTGCCCTGAACGCGTGCTGCCGTCGCGGCTCGGTTCCACTGGTGACGCAGTGATGATGATGATGATGTGACGGCACTTTGCCGGGGCGGCTCTCGCAGTTCCGTTTTGTAGCTGTGTGGCGCACACTCACGCCAAGAGGGTGTTTTCGCAGATGCCACGCCAGATAAGGGAATTAGCGAATACTTCCTCCATATCTATATGCTGACCATGTACATACGTGCTGATTGACCAGAGAGAAGAAGAGAAGTAAATGACGCAATACACGCACGTGTGCACGATGCACTGAACGGTCGATAAGAGGCGCAGAGCAGAGAGGGAACATTGGGGGAGGGCAGGGGGCGAGGGTGGACAGGAGATGGTCGCAAGGTGGGGAGACGATCGCAACGTGAACGAACCACATGCACTCGAGTCACAGAGATGTGTGCGCGCACGCGTGTGTGTGTGTGTGTATGTGTGTGTGCGTGCGTGTGTTGCAGCTAGTCTGCAAGCACGCTTGGGTCAAATCCTGATACAAACAAAAAGAACGACGCAGGAAAGCAAGAGACACATTGTGGGAACCGTGGTGTGGTGCAGACGCGTACTGTCAGCATGAGAAGATGCGAGATTGACAGGGAGAGAGAGAAAGAGAAAGAGAGAGAGAGACAGACAGACAGACAGAGACAGAGACAGACAGAGACAGGGACAGAGAGACAGACAGAGACAGACAGAGACAGACAGACAGAGACAGACAGAGACAGACAGACAGAAAGAGAGAGAGAGACAGACAGACAGACAGACAGAAAGAGAGAGAGGGAGAGAAGAGGGGGCACACACACACGCGCACACACGCACACGCACACACAGACACACACACGCGCGCGCACACACGCACACACGCATACACACACACACTCTCTCTCTCTCTCCAAATGTCTCACCTGGACCAGTCTGTGGCAGGAGGTCACGCTTCGGTGTCCATGTTTGGAGGACTGTTGGCAGCAAGGAACACATGCGCAACGCGGCATCAGCCGTAAGGAACATACGCCAAAGAGCAACCCGTTTTCACACACACAGACAGAGAGAGCATGTGTGTGTGTGAGAGAGAGATATATATATCTCCCCCCCCCCCCCCCCCACACACACACACAAGCAACTCACGTTCGCTCTTGTTCATGGCGTTGCATTCTGGTGTCAGTGAAGCCCACGCACACCAGTAATTACGAAGGAGGCACGGCACAAGGTGAGAGTGTGTGAGAGTGTGAGAGCAAGCGATTGCAGAGGGTGGATGTACACAGGCACGGACGCGAGAGGTGGACTCTGATGGTGGGACTCACGTGCTGTGAAGAAGGCAGTCACTTCCTGCTTGTTCAGCTGAGGCGGCCTGCAAACAAATGTGTGTGTTTGTAAGGAAGGGAGAGAAAGTGGGGTAACCAATGGCTTATGTGTCTGCGACGCGCGCGCGCACACACACACACACACACACACACACACACACACACACACACACACACACACACACACACACACCTCTCTCTCTCTCTCTCTCACCTTGGTTGATCCATCGCTTCTTCACTCCCTCCTTCTCCTGTCTGTGTGCGTTTTGCAAATTGCGGCTCCTCCGAGAACAATTGGCAAAACCACACCTCCTGCTGAACACAAACAACACACAACAAAGCAACAACAACAACTCCCACACCCGACTGCGGCGATGGCAACCAAGTTTGCCTTGTCGGCGTTTTCGGCAGTGGCTGCTGAGACATGCACGTTTCCACTGGACCTCACCAAGACCCGGATGATGATCGCCACGCAAGCTGGCCAGCCAGTACGTGCTTTTGTTTCAGCCTTGTCTTGTTTCCCCCACTACGTTTGCGCAATGGTTGAGATTCACTCATTTGGGAACAGTGACACATTGCTTCCTCGCTTGCGCACGAGTACTCTCTCTCTCGCTCTCTCGCCTGTGCCCACTGCACTTGCTGCGCTCGATGCGCACGCCGATGCTGTCTGAATCTCAACTGCTGTTGTTTGTTTGTGGTGCACAGGCCCACGGCATGTTTGCCACAGCTGCCAGCATCGTCCGAAATGAGGGCCTGCGCTATTTATGGAGGGGATGTCCCCCAGCGCTGCTGCGACACGTCATCTACTCAGGTTCAGTGCGGCCTGCACCCTCGCTCCATTGCCGATGTTTGGGATGTGCTCAGTACCGTCGCACGCAATGCTTCCTGGTGCACTGGCTGATGCGCTCTGCTGGTTAACGTCCGATGTTGCTGGCTTGGCTTTTGTCATCGCAGGCTCCCGCGTGTGTCTTTACGAAGTGTTTCGAGATAATGTGTTCGGCAAGAACAAAGACGGTTCCGTTGCTGCTTGGAAGGCCGTGACATGTGCGTTCAGTGTGCTTGGGTTTGTTTGGTTTGTTTGGTTTGTTTGGTATGGTGTGGGTTGGATTGTTTGGTGTGGCTTGGTGTGAGCTGGGTGAGCGTGGGTTGTTTGCTCGTGCTTGAGTTGTATGGGTTGCTTGGGTTTATGTCTGCGTCGTGCGACATCAACGTGCTGGGAATCTGGTGACACCGTTTTGCCTCGCCTGTCGACCACACGAACTCGCAGGCGGGCTGTTGGCTGGTGCCGTTGGCCAATTGATTGCCAGCCCAACCGACTTGGTGAAGGTGTGTTCAGCCTGCAGCATCCCGCGTAATTGTGTACGTTGCCACATACGTATTGTGGTGGTTGCTGATGTCGCCTCACCGTGTTGTATGCTCGTGTTGGCGATCCCTGGAGTAGGTTCGGCTCGCTGGACAGGGCGCTGACGCTGCACTAGGCAAGCCCCTTCGATACAAGGTTGGTATGTGTGTGTGTCTGTGTCTGTATGTGTGTGTGTGTGTGTCTGTCTGTGTGTCTGTCTGTCTGTCTGTCTGTGTGTGTGTGTGTTTGTGTGTGTCTCTGTCTGTGTGTGTGTCTGTGTCTGTGTGTCTGTGTCTGTGTCTGTGTGTGTCAATGTGTGTGTGTGTGTATCTGTACCTGTTCATCTGTCTGCGTCTGTGGTTACTTGGTTTATCTATCTGCGTGTGGTGTGAAGAGGAAGCAGGGGGCACGTGCTGCTTTGTGAGCTGGGGTTTTGCCAGGTTGCACTCATGAGCGTGATGACTGTACAACGTGCATTGCCGTGACCCCCAGGGCACGTTCCATGCGTTCTCCTGCATCGTACGAGAGGAAGGCGTCCTCGGGCTGTGGAAAGGGTGTGTCCCCAATGTACAGCGTGCTGCCATTGTCGGCTTCAGTGAGCTCGCCACATACAACCTGGCGAAGGACACATATCGCAAGCTGGTGCGTGCTTCGAGTCTGTGTGTGTGTCTGTGTGTCTGTGTACGTCAGCGTGTCTAGGAACGCGTGTTGTGGTTTGCGATGCATGCGTGTCGCTGTGCTCTCGTCTCATAAACCCGGCGTTGTGTGTTTCTATGTGTGTGTGTGTCGCCTGTGGACGCCTGCGTTGTCCGTTTGCAGCTGGGCGACAACCCTGTCTCTCATACCCTCTCAAGCTTAACGTCCAGCTTCGTCTGCGCCGTTGCAAGTGCGTTCGTTGCACGAGGATGGCCTGTTTGTGCGGTATTCGTGTGTGTGTGTGTGTGTCTGTGCGGTATTTGTGTGTTGTGTCTGTGTGTGTGTGTGTCTGTGTGTGTCTGTGTGTCTGTGCGATATTTGTGTGTATGTGTGTGTGTCTGTGTGTGTGTGTGTGGGGGGGGGGGTCTGTGTGCGTGTGCGTGTGTTTGTCTGTCTGCCTGTCTGTCGACCAATGTGCCGGGTTTTTTTTTTTCTGTGTATCATCTCACGACGTCGTCACGTGTTGACCGCAGGCACGCCGGCCGATCTTGTGAAGACGCGCGTCATGAATCAGCCCGTAGTCAACGGAAAGTGGGTTCCGCAAACCACACCCACGCCAGCCCTTGCATTTGCCTTTCTTCATGCAGCTTACAACAACCTCTGCAGTTGCTTTTCAGCTCACACATACACACACACTCACACATACACACGCACACACTCACGCATGCGCCGACAGAGGGGTGTTGTATAAGAGCAGCTTTGACTGTCTTCGCCAAAGTGTACGGGCTGATGGCTTTCTCTCCCTGTGGCGTGGACTTTTGCCCGTGTGGCTGCGCATGGTAACTGGAGCTTGTGCTGGCGCTGCAATTGTCACCGCAGTTCACTCGCAACCAGACCTCCCCGCCTTGTCTTTCAACGTTCAGGACATGCACACACACACACACACACACACACACACACACACACACACACACACATGTACAAAAGACAGACACACACACGTACAAAAGACAGACACATACACACACACACGTACAAAAGACAGGCACATACACACACACACACATGTACGCACTCTCACCCACCATCCACTCGCAACCGTACAGACGCCGTGGTCACTGGTGTTCTGGCTCACATATGAGCAGACGCGCAACCTGGTTGGCTTGGAATCCTTCTAGCGCCAGACTCGAGGCTTCATCAACAGTGCTGGTACGTTTCGTTTGCACACACACACACATCACACACGTATCGCAGCACGAATGCTGCAGCCAATGTTGAATTTGTCAGCGTTTACTGTGATGCTGTACAAGGCGCGGTTCCGACCTTCCATCTGCCACGCGCTTGCGGTGTCGATGTTGGTGTCGTCGCTGCGTCTGTGCATGATGTGCGTGCTCACTCACACGTCATGCACCCACAAACGAACCAACAAAACAACCAAGACACAGGCGCAAGCGCGGCAGGCAGGCAACCGAACATGAAAGGCCAGGACGCGCACAACAGCGGCGGCAGCAACGCGGCAGCCAGTTAGGTAAGGAAATAGATGAAAGCAAGAAATACGAAAAATGGATGCGCAAAAATGGAAACTTGATTGGTATTGGTGGCCCGAGCAACGGGGGCAAACCCACGCGCGCTGGCGTGAAATGTCCCGAAAAGCAGCCATGTATGTAAAGCAAGCAATAAAGTAAGAGAGGAGCAATTGGAGGCAAAGGGGTCATGGGTGACAGACAAGAAGAGACACGAATGGTCAACATCACTTCATGTCAACAAGTCTGTTAAAAGCATCACGTAGGTCGTAGGAAGAGTAAGGCAGGTAGGGCGGGTCAGGGTCGGGCAATTGGGCGTAAAGCAAACAACACTACAACACAACACCACACTAAACAAGGCGCGCAGCCACCAAGAAAACAAACGGGGCTTTGCTCCCATGCCAGCAAGGGACACAGGCAAGCAAACCCAGGGCGGGCATGACGGCACAAAACTTAGGAAAGACCAACAACATCAAGCAAGCAAGAAAGAAAGCAAGAAACAAACAAACAAACAAAGAAAGAAAAAAAGGGAGGCTGCACACACAGCGCAGCGGCAGTCAACAGCTGTCCAGTCAATAGGCAATGAGAACAAAGTGGGCAGGTGCAAGATGCACAAAGGCACAGTTTTGTATTGTTTCGCAAGTCCATGAATGTACAGGCTGCTGATAAGTAAACGTCAGGTCGAGGGGATGGTTGGATGGATGGTTGGCTGGATGGATGGGGGGGGGGCAAGGAAGTCACACGATAGGCAGTTGGGGCCCTCTGTGTGTTGGCCACCCAATGGACTCAGCTCACAAGCGGTGAGGTTTTTAGGCGTGGCCCTTGCGCTGTGCCTTGTCAAAGCCCGCCACCGAGTGTGGGCGGTAGTGCACATATCTGCTGTTGTGCCTGCGCTCCGGGGCCATGCCGAAGCGGCCCTCGTAGATGGCGCGCAGCGTCGCGTCCTTGACCGGCACCGCCTTGGACGCCTCGTGCAGCTGGAACCCCGCAAGCACAATCGTCTCTGGCTGCGGCTGTGGCTCGTTCTTGCCAAGACGGAAGTACCGCCAGAAGTCTCCCGGCTTCTCCGTCAGCGCCTGCACCGCGTCGATAAAGTCCTGGCGCGGCACCTGCGGCAGACGGCTGCTGGGCTTCGACCGCGCCGCCTTTCGCGCGTGCAATGCCGCAGCAGAACTGGCGGCAGTGGTGCCGCTGGTGGTACTGGTGGCGGCGGCGCTGCTGCCTGTACCGTGCGCGCGCTTGGCGGCCCGGCGAGCAGCGGCCGTGGCGGAGGGCGTGGTGGTGGTGGTGGTGGCACTTGCGGTTGCCGCCTTTGGCTTGCGGCGGGAGCGGCCCACGCCACGGATCTTTGGCCAGCGCTTCTTGCACTTGGCAACAAGCTTCTGCGTCTCCTTGGCAAACGCAAGATGCTGCTTGTAACCGGGGTAGTGCTCGTTCAAGAACTGCAATTGCGTATGTGTGAGTGTGTGTGTTGGAGGGTTGGTGTGTGAGCTTCAGTTTGGGAAGAAGGGTGGGTGGAACTTGGGCCGAGCAGGCAGACGACAAGCAAGCAAATAAGAGAAGCACTTGAGTACAACACACAACACACAACACACAACACACAACACACAACACGCGCGCGATGCAGACACACGCACAAGGCATGGCATACAGCAGACGTGTGGTGTGAGACTCACCGCTGCGACAGTGCGCTCGTCGCGATCACGAAGCCGTGGCGTCTTGCACGCGCCCTTGTGGCCGCCAACGGCCTGGCCGTTCTCAAAGACTTCACCGCAAGGGCACACAATGTACTTGTGGCCCTGCACGACCAGGTCAATTGGGCACGCGCGCTGGTACGCGTCAAACATGCGATCAAGGTCTGCAGCCAAAAGCATCGCAAAGAGAGGGAGAAACGAGTGTGAGGCAACGCTGCAGTGTGAACAGACGCGCACATGTACGTTAAAGGCGCACACGTACGTGAAGGCTTTCAAGCTTGCACACCCACCACACACACACACACACACACACACGCACACACGCACGCACGCGCAAACCCACCACACACACACGCGCGCACACGCACAAACACGCACAAACACGCACGCACACACACACACACGCACGCACGCACGCACAAACACAACCAACACACACGCACGCACCGTATTCGTTTGATGTGCCTGGGATGTGGAAGCGGTTCATAAATGCGTCGGCGGTCATGGAGTTGTCGACCTTTGGGCGCTTGGCGGCGGCCTTGCTCGTGTGCGGCTTGTCGGCCAGGTAGTAGATGCGCTCATGGTCGCCCGTCGGCGCCTCGCGCGACTTGAGCCGCGGCACGTGGATGCCCAGCTTGTTGTAATAAGCAAGCCACTTGGGCGCGTTTGTCGTGCGTTGGCGCTCAAGCTCGTCCGTGTCGGCGGCGCTGAGGGCATCGTCGTCTTCGGCGTCGACCTCATCCTCCTGCGTCGCAGTTGTCACCTCTGTCGCCGCATCATCGTCCACATCCTCCGTCTCGTCGCCCTGCACCAGGGGCTCCTCCTTGTGACGGTGGTGATGGCGGCGGCGGTGGCGGCGCTTGCGTCTGCGGGCCGGCTGCTGTGCGTCTGCGGCGTGGGATGCCTCGTCCTCCACGTCATCTGCTTCCGCGGACAGCGCTTCGTCCGTCTCCGTCTCCGCGCCGGCTGGGACGGTCATGCCGCCGCCGCCGCTCAGATACATGCTGGCATGGGATGCGTTGACGCCGGCGGCGGCTGTGGCGCTGGTGGCCGGGTTCATGCCAAAAAACGGGTGGTGCGCATGCGGATGCTGGTGCTGGTGCTGCGGGAACATGGACGCCTGCTGAGAGAAGTGGAGCGGGTGCGCCCTCAGCATGGAGGCCTGAGCCGGGTGGGACGGGCCAATAAAGGGCGAGAGGCCACCAGCGTATGGGCCAAACGGCTGCTGTGGTTGCTGTGGTTGCTGCGGTGGCGTGTGCGTCGGGGTGTGCTGGCCCTGTGCAGGGTTCTGCTGGTTGGCCCAGGCACGCCGCATGTAGTCTTGCTGGTACATGCGGTTCATGTGGTATGGGTTGAGCTGAGCGCCTGCGCTGGTGGCCACGCTGAGCGGATGTTGCTGATGCTGGTGCTGCATGGCTGCTGGGTGCATGGCCATTGGCTGCGCCATGCTCATGCTCACGCCGGCAGCAGCAGAGGAAGAGGGCACAGCAAGCGATGAGGGCTGCGCTTGGGGGCTGGCCGTTGCAGACGGGCCGTTGCTGTGGCTGCCCGCCTTGCTCGCGGCAGGCCTGTGTTTTTTGTGCTTGTGCTTCATCTGCTTGCGGGGCGACGAAGAAGCCGGTGCTGTTGCTGTTGTGGCTGTTGTAGCTGCTGTGGCTGTGGGCGGCGCTGCGGCGGTGCGGCGCTGCTGGTGTGGTGAGAGCGGGGGCGACTTGGCGGCGTCGCTGGAGGAGGGCTGGGCGTCCTCCGCCTCGTCCTGGTCAAGCTCCATGTCCGAGGTGGAGTCGATGTCCGACGCGTGGGCGTGGGCGCGGGCGCGGGCGGCGGCGATGGCGCGCTTGGCGCGCTTGGTGGAGAGGCCAAGGTCTGTGTCAATGTCGGCGACGGCGGGGCGGGCGCGCTCCTCCGTGTCGGAGCCCTCGTCCGTGAGGCCAAGCATGGCCTTGAAGGGCTTGCGCGCGATGAGCGGGCTGACAATGTACAGGGGCTGGCAGTGGCTGTCGAGGAGCACCATGTGCGTGTAGCAGGCGGTGGTGCTGCGGCCATCTGCGCCGGCCTTGCAGACAAGCACGCTGCCGGGCCGGTACTTGGGCATGTACAGCTTGAGTGGGTAGGTTGGCGCGGCGACGCGGTCCACGTCGTTCTTTGCGGCGACGGGGAAGCCGTTGAGCTCGTGGGCCTTGTTGGCCGGGTACTGCATGGCCGGGTTCATGCTGTTGAACAGCAGCTCCTCCTCGCGGTCCATAAACTCGTGGTGGCAGCTGGCGCTGCAAAACTCCACCAGCCAGTCGTCGTCCACCTGCAGCAAAGCAAAGCCAAGCAAAGGCGCACTTAGAACAACGTACACATGCATGCAAACAGTAGGAAAGCACACACACACACACACACACGTGCCTCCCGCATATGCATCACGCAGAACAAGCACTCAAACACACGCACTTCACACTCAACACAAACACAAAACACTTCACACTCAACACAAACACAATACACACGACGAACCTGGCCGGTGCGGCAACGGGCACAAGTGATGGGGTTGGAAGAAGGGCTTCCACTGCGCACTCTGTCGAGGAGGGTTTGCATGAGGGCTCTGCCAGACTCGCTGAGCTCGTCGATATCGTTGTCGTCGTCTGCTTCAGCCCCGTGCCAGACGTCGTCGGCGTTGTCGTCCTCGTCGCTGAGGGTAGGGGCGTGGGTGTGGGTGAGGATGCTTGGGCGGCGGGAGCGGCGGTTGCTGCCGCTTGTGGCGCCATCCTGCTGGGCGCTTGGCGCTGCTGTTGTGGGGGGCGTGGCGTTGCCGCTTGTGAGCAGAGCGACGGCCTGTTTGTGGAGGGGCTTCGACATGGGCACGGCGGGCTTCCCTGGCGAGAAGAGGTGCAGCATGGTGTTTGCCGCAAGAACCTCCGCTGCGGAGTACTGTTGGCGTGAGGCAAGGCAAGCAGACATGTCGCCAGTGCAGTGTGTGAGTACAGTGTGGTGTGCGCGTGTGTGAGGGTGTGTGTATGTGTATGTGTGTGTGTGTGAGTACAGTGTGGTGATGGAAATTAGTGACAGTGATAAGTGTGTTCACGTGGCGCGGCGCGGGTGTGGGAAGTGGGTGAGTGTCAAACAAGGAGAGAAGTGGGAGAAGCGAAAGAAGAGGTGGGGGCAACGCCACACACGGAAGCCGCAAAGGAATACAAACAAACAAACAGTGATGTGACAACAATGAGGTGGGCAACAAGTGGTTGGGCAGTGTGTGTGTGTGTGTGTGTGTGTGTGTGTGTGTGTGTGTGTGTGTGTGTGTGTGTGTGTGTGTGTGTGTGGTGGAAATGTAACAGGTTCAAATTTGGTATGGCGTTTGATTTGATTCACATCATGCATAACTTTGTGTGTGTGTGGAGACGATTGCAGAAGCAGTGGCCACCGAGGCCAAAACAGAAAGAGAAGATGGAAGCGTGTTACGTACCGGCTCAGACGCCATCTCTGGCTGTCTGTTGATCTCAGTGGTACTGGTGCTGATGGTGTTCGCTTGTTGCTGCTGGTTGCTGGTTGTTTGTTGATGCTGTGGCGGCAGTGAACGTGATAGTTGGATGTTGAGTGGGGGGGGGAGGGGGAGTTCTGGCAGTGAGTGGCTGGCGCCCAAGAAGAGCGAGGGCACACAAGAGGAGGAGCGAGGGCACACAGGCGACGCAAAAAAACAAAAACAGTGGCGATGGTTGTTGGCAAGCACGGCACGGCGCGCGCTGTGGTGGATGGCGTGGCTTTTGTTTGTATTTGTCTGTTAATCTGTGTCTTGGCGTACCGTGATTGCGCGGTTTCCGTTGAGGAGCTGCTGACAAAGAAATGCACGAGACGGCGTGAGGCAAGCGTGGCAAGGAAGAAAACCAGTGATCGACAAAAGGAGAGACGTGCGTGTGCGTGTGTGTGTGTGTGATCAATGTTTGGCCAGTGCGCAGTGCGCGACAAAAATGCAGCTTGGTTCGCTTTGCACGTAACAGTGGTGGCAGGGGATGGATGATGGAGGATGATGATGATGATGATGACACACCATGCAATGAGGAATGGACACACGCATTCACACGACACACACACACACAGAGCACATACGCACCTGGTGTGTGTGAAAAGTGTTGCGTGGCTTCTTCCGGCAAGCACTGGCTGCAGAGTCAAATGACATCCAAATCAGCAGTCGTCGTCGTCGTTGTCGTCGTCGAGGAGTCACGGCACGGCTGGCGTGGGTGGGCGGTGAGTGTACTGGCAAAGTCAGGTGGAAAGTGGCCGTTGTCAGCAATTGCAGCAACAACGTCAACGATGGTGACACGCCGTTCCAGCCGTTGTTGTTATGTATTGCTTTGCTTCTTCGGTTTTGGGCGGGCGGTTGGGCGGTTGGTCGGTTGGGCGGTTTGGATGGGATGGGATGGGGAGGAGCAAGAATGTCGCAAGCAACTGCTAAGCACGTACGCACGCACAATGCACTGATTGTTTTGTGGGTTTGTTTGTTTGTGTTTGCGTGTTTCGTTGGCAGTTCCAGTGTGCGCGTGTGTGATGTGTTGTTGTTACACACCAGTGGAAGAAGAACAAGCTGAAGCAAAAGAAAGATGTGGCATGCAGAAGCAACGACAAGTCACGAGCAAGACGAAGACAGCCACTGGAGCGGAACGGCAGCAATGGGCGAAGCGCAAGCAAAGGCCCGTGGACATGAGTCATCATCTGACACGAAATTTTTCGGTTTTTTCGATCTATTGTGGCTATTTTTAGCAGTTCTCGGAAAAATCCAAGAAATCTTCGTTTAACAATCTTGCACACTTAAACGTGGGGCAAGTCCGCAGAAGGAGGAGCAGCATCAAATCATGACGACGAGGACGACGATTGCGTACGTACCCGCGTTTTGGAAGCGAACGGAAGCGAAGGCATTCCCGCAGAAAATTGTTCAAGATAATTTGTAATCGACAGCACAAAAGGTGTTTTGATGTGTCACGTCACCGGCTGGTGGTGGGACTGACCAAGCGCACACAACAATCACAACAGCCATAGCAAAGACAATCAGTGGACCGGTGTGCGACATGCGTCGCTTGCTGGCAGCACGGAGTTTGCGGACACGATCGCATGTCGCACTTTCCTCTCGTCGCTTCTTTCCTCACAGCACTACATTGAGGTTTGTCCTGAGGAGATAAAGCAGAGAACAAGCAAGAAGCCAGATCAGATCACTGGTGCCTGCTTGCCTGCCACCCACAACCAAGGTCACTCCACAGCGTGTGGGAGACCATACTACCACCAAACCAAGGCACCAAGCCTTCCTGTCAACAAGCAGCTTTCCACTGCCACCCGACGGACAACATGAGCGAGGTGAGGCTGTGAAATCACGGGGAGTGCGGCAACTCATGCAATTCATGTCTTCATATGTGTCTTCATGTGTCTTCATGTGTCTTCATGTGCATGAGGGTGTTTCTTTGCTCGACGTCTTTGCTTCTTCCACCAGTGAACCCGACAGTTGCGTCCACAAACCAATTGCGCGAGCTGCGCTCACTGCTTGTCCTGCCTTTCTCTTTCGAAATGATCACCCCGTCCTTTCCCTCCTTCTCCTTCGGTGACAAACAGCCCAAAACGGCACCATTCATGGCCACCTGGAGAAAGGCCCACAAGGCCTGGATGGAAGCTAGAGCCTCGAAGGAAAAACAAGCATGCATTCCACCTCTCTTCAATGCCGTCCTGGATGTCGCCTCCAACTTTGCCAAAGTCGCCGGCCAAACGGAGTGGTCCAAGCTGGTCAAGGGCCTGGGCTTCCTGCCGCAGTACTTCACCGCCTCGTAAGCAACCCGTGTTTTGGTTTATGTTTTGGTTCATGTGGTGTTCCTCCTATGTCCTCCAGCTCTCCTGCACTGCCCCTTGTCCGGTTGTGGGCACCTTGTTGACTTTGGTGTGCTCACATCACTGTGTCCACTCATCATGCATGGTTTTGACTCACAAGTCGGACACATGTCACTCAGCAACTTGTCTACTCACTCACACACACACACACACACACACTCACTCACTCACTCTCTCACACAAACGCACACACTCTCACACACACACACACATACACACACAGGACAACCCTTCGCGAGGCTGCGCTGGAGCTGGCCGTCGCCGTGCTCAGCAACGAGGATGCTCGAGCAAACTTGACTGAGGCCGCCGACGCCAGCGCATCTTTCCTCCAGCTCCTCAACACTGTCGTCGATCACTTTGTGGGCGCAAGCACTGATCCGGATACGATGAGTGGCCGGTCATTTGACCTGTGCGCCCAAATCTGTGTGCTCCTGCTTGAGCACAGGAACATCCTCGACACTGCCCACCGCCAACCGGACCTCCTCCGCACCCTCGCTCGTGCTTCGGTGCGCCAACCCCAGATTCGTGAACACGTGTACCGTCACAAGAACAAGGGCATCGTCCACACGCTGGATGCCGCGGACACCAACAGCAAGGTGAGAAAGCCCTACAACACTGCCGCACACACGCACACGCACACGCACTGTCACACAACACACGCACACGCACATGCGCACATAGGCACGCACACGCACTGTCACACATAGACACGCACGCACATGGTCAGTCTGTATCTGGACTGCATAGCCTCGTCCTCTTGCACATTTCGCCTCGTTCTGCTCATCATCCCTTGCATTGTCCATCACCACGAACAGGGACCATCCTCCCTTGTGCCCAACTTTCGATTCACCTGGACCGATGATCGCGTGGATGAGATGAGCCAGACGACCTGGGAGCACCAGCGCAAGCTCTGGCGTGTCGCTGACCCCCACCACTACCGCAGATTCACAGGCACGTCTCATGAACTGTGTGTTTGCGCTCCTGTGCGCGTGCATCGCATGTGTTCATCAAGCCATTGCTGTTGCATGGCCATGCAACCAACGACACACACACACACACACCACGCACGCATGCATGCGTGCACTTCACACATGACGCGGCAACGACACTCACCCCTTTCTCCTCCCCCTTACATGTTTGGACTGCAACACAGGCCCCGACACCCTCGCCCGCGTCTTTTCCCTTCTCACTTCAACCGATGATGAGCTCAACGATTTCATTCGCCATGTGCTGCGTGAGTCCCTCGCCGCAAATCTCACCGTCGACGAAACCAAGTACCTCATGTACAAGCTGGGCGCCGTTGCATTTTCGACCGACGTCAGCAACACCCACGTGCCCGCGTTTTGTCGACTGCTGGACGTGTCAGCGTGGGAACGCGCATTCACCGTGCTCGCTGGCGCTGCATCGGACGCCGAGGCACACGAAGCCTTCCTCCAGTCCCCTGCTCTCGCAACTGTCTGTGCTGCCGTTCGTGGCACTCTGGAATCGGGCTTGGCCGAATGGCTCTGCCAGCCAGCTCAGGACAACATCGCCCGCACCCGTCTCCTCCAAGCCGTTCAACAGCACGTGGACACAACGCTACAGCTGTCAGCCTCCGTCGCGGGCTCCTCAACGACACCGCCATCTGACACTCTTCAAGCATCCCACACGCCCCATATCAACTCCACCAGTGCACTGGACACTCCCCAGCCCGACTCGGCACTCGGCACGTCCGTCTCGCCCAAACCTTCCTCGCCTGACTCTGCTACAAAGCCCCGTGATGATCTCAGCAACGCTGCTGATGATGATGATGACGATGACGATTGGGGTGATGGTCACGATGACCAAACCGACCATATCAGCAATGATGCCAATGGTGCCAATCACACCACTGCTGCCGATAATGATGATGATGATTGGGGCGATGACAGCACCACTGACAGCACCACTGACAGCACCACTGTCAGTACCAGTCCTCAAACGGATGCTGACACCCGCGCAGCTCTCATCCAGCGCGTGACCGACCTCATCAAGGAACACTTGAGCGCACTGTACCACCTCGTTCTCTGCCGCACAAACACCATCCTTCAATTTCACCTGCAATCCAGCAACACAGAGGCAGTCTCCACGGTCTGTGTTGAGGTGCTGGAGATTGTGCACAAGAGCAGCACCTTGGCCTTGCTGGACCTGCATGAGGTTACCGACCTGAAGGATCTCCTCTCCAATCTCCTGCGCATCAACACCGCCCCGTCCGATGGCCTCCTCGTCGCCCTCGTCTGCCACATCCACCCAAAGCCTGCCACGCTGCATCACCTTGCCACAGAGTCGAACAGGCGCCGCCTCCTCGGTCGACTCCAACTCGTTCAACGCATCCTGGTTGAGTGTGTGGAGCGTGATCCCTCTGAAATGTACAACGCAACGGAAGAGACCCTCGACCTGCTTGCTGCAGCCGTGCCAGACCACACCGCCTGTCCGGCTGACTGTGCCGCTGCCTTCCTGGCCATCTTCGGCAGTTCCGGTGCTTTCCAATTCACGCCAGCCCACGCCAGCCACATCATCGAGGTCCTGGCTGCCACGTCGCTCGATGGTGAACATGCCACTCCAAGCAACACTCCAGCCACTCATGCTACAACTGTGATGGCGCCCACCACAACAACAGCCCACGCCTCTGTCGCTGACCCAAAGACTGAGCAGCGCACGCGCCTATGCATGCTGCTGCTCTCCCTCACCCGTTCTGCTGATAAGGAGGTGATCCAGCGCAATTGGCAGCCCATCGCTGACAGGCTCCTCGCCGGCCTGCCCCTCATCACAGCCACGCCACAGCAGCACAAGGCGTGTTGGCACGTCCTCTTCCGTGCAGCGCCAGCCCTGACTGCGAGGACCAAGATTCTAGCCGCCTTGTTCGAATTCTGCATGCAGCAGTGGCTTCGGCACGACGAGCTAGCGTGGGCAAAGGGAGACGCCCTTGTCGACACCCTTCAAGTGCTGTCTCAGAGCAACCGCAACCGCACCCGCAACCTTATCAAGGACCAGATCGCCAAAGCCATGCACACGCTCACGCACATGCTATCGTTCGACCGTCAGACCTCCCCAGCGTACGCCCTCTTGTTTGAGCTCGTGAAGCCCCACGACCTAGCCTCCGTCATCGAAGACCACGATAACGATGGCGAGTTCGACAGTGGTGCTCCATCCCACAGTGAGCATCTGCTCGTCAGCGCCACAGATGCAGACTCCAAGTTCCCTCTCCCCGCAGCATTCAAGGAAGGCCTACAGCATGCTGTGGCAGAGTACAACACGAGCGAGGCTGACCCTTTCGAGATTGTCAGCGATGGCGAGCGCGCCACCTTTAACGGCCACGTCCTGGGCAACTGCTTCAACTCTGCTCGCGCGTATGCACAGGCTTGCAAGATGTTTCCGGCAGCAGACGGGGGCGTGGTCCCCACAACCCGCACCCTCCAGTACCTCAAGACCATCTTGTCCACACTTCGCACTAACGACAACCTGCTCCTGCAAGGCGAGACTGGTGTGGGCAAGACGATGCTGACGCTCTTCGCCGGCCATCTCGCCAACCAGGTCGTGCTGCGCTTCAACGGGTCATCACACAGCAGCGTTGAGGACCTCTTTGGCAGCGTCACCAACGACCCCACCAAGCCCGGCCACTTTGGACTTGCCCCTGGCCCCGCCATCCTCGCCTACACTTTTGGCTATTGGCTGTACATTGACGAGGCAAACCTGCTCAAGGAGGAGCTGGTGCAGACTCTGGCCTGCCTAACTGAAGACCGTCTCTCTCTCGCCCCCTTTGCCAAAGGCCTCTCGATCCTCGACTGCACCTCCGCTTACACGGGCAAGCCCCTGCCCATCATTGGCAGCGGCAGTGGCGGTGATGATGCTGCCCTTGTGCGAAAACACAAGAACTTCCGTCTCATCTTCGCCCAGAACCCTTGCGACAGCAGATACAACCGCGAAAAGCACAGCCTCAACGTCCTCAGTACCTTCGTGCCACTGGATGTGACGTGGGGCTCGAACCTTGCATCCCGCAAGGCCGAGTGGAAGATGATCGTTACCAGTGCCCTTCGTGGTGTTCTGCCTGAAGACATCCACCACAGTCTGTCTTCCGACAAGTTGGCGAGCCAGCTGGTGGACTTTCACGTGCGAATCACAGATGCACAGCTCCTCGAAGAGCTTCGTGCCATGGAGAACGAGGGCGAGGTGTACGAGCAGCAGCACTTCATGGACTTGACGGTGCGCGAGCTCAAGCGTTTTGCCAGCGCGTGTCGCGCATACATGGGCCGCCTCAAGGGCTCCGCTTCGAAGGCTTTTCAAACACACTTGACAGCCTTTGGGCTCATGCTCTCCTCCATCTACGGCGCCCGTTTCCAGTGTGCTGCGTCCCGCCAGCGCATTGCCGAGATTGCATTTGAATGCCTCAACGCAGATCAGCCGCAAGCAACAGGAGCCTCTCCTCAAGGCCGGTTGCAGATGCATGCGCAGGCTGTCTTCATTGATGGCATCCCACTCCAGCGCAAGGTGGCCGCACCCGAGCATGATATCGTGGACATTGTTCACGACAAGATCATGCAGTGCGCGACACACCCCAATTTCATGCTCAAGTATGGCTGCTACGACTTTGTCAACCATGCATGTGTGGACCGCGTTCATGCCCTGATGCGCGATGAAAGCGTGTCGCTGGGTCATGCGCTCTTGCACGCGTATGTGGCGCCAATCCGCTGTGTCCGTGCTCGGGCGGACCTTCTCGCTGACATTTGCAAGACGCTTGATGCCACGCATGCAGCGGAGGCCCAGCGCCTGCGTAACGTCGACCCATCCTCTCTGCTGGAACCCGACCAGTACATCTGTTCGATTGTGGTGACACCAGAGCTGGTGACAGCAGCACGCGAGTGCGCAGTGGCGTTCCTCCTGCGCACACCCTTGATGATCTGCGGCCCGAGCGGCGCTGGCAAACAGGTTCTCGTGCGCTTCCTGTCTGCCCTGACCAACATCAGTCTCGCCCACCTTCACCTGACAAAGGAGACGGAGGTGCAAGACTTCATTGGCATGGCCATCCCAGAGACAGACCACGCGACAGGGGACATGAACCTGCGGTGGCACGATGGCCACTTGCCTCGCACCATGCGCAATGGCGGCATTCTGGTCCTTGATGACATTCTCTCCCTGCAGTCGTCTGTGCTCGAACGGCTCAACCCGGTCTTGGAGGAGAAGCCCACGCTCGTGCTGTCCGAGAACAACCAAGTCTCACCGATACCTGAGGACGAGATCAGCGACTTTCTGCGCTTTGTCGCCATTGTCGAAGCAAGGAACAAGGCCATGACGCCCGCCTTTGGCAACCGCTTTCACATGGTGTACCTCAACCCGCCGCCACAGGAACCATCGACGTGGCTCGTGGCTGCCAGCCGTCTCTTGCTCGGTCACGAAGCGGGTGATGGGGAATGTCCACGTGATGTCTGTGAGCTGACAGCCAAGGCACACCAAGCCTGGTGCAGTTCAGAGGAGCGACCCAGTGTGCGGCGCTTCGTGATGCTGTTTGATGCCGCGTTTCACCTCACCCGCGGTACTACACCTCCCCCACTCAAGAACAAGGCTGCAGCCGCGGTGGGAGAGGCGTGTGAGCTCGTGCTCGCCCAACACCCGAAAACGGCGGAAGCTCTCAAGCAGCAGCTCGTCAATTCCCTTCCACCCAACAGCGTTGACTATGTGGAGGCATTGCTGACGTCACCTCAGCCTGATGGTGGGGTAACCTTTGTCCTGGACAAGGACACAACACCACGGGTGTATGCAAACGCGAACAAGGTGCTGCGCGCCCTCAAGGCACGCGTTCCTGTCGTGTTTGAGGGCAGTCAGGCCGTGGGCAAGACGGCAACCGTGACTGCTCTCGTCCACTGGTTGACGCACAAGGCGATTCTGCGCAAGACCAACAGCGATTCCACGCAAGCCACGGACTACCTCTCCTACTGGCGTCCCAGCAAGCAAGGCAACTTTGCCTTTGAAGAGGCAGAGTTCGTGCGCACCCTGCGCAACGGCACATGCTTCCTGAACGACGAGTTCAACCTCGCCAACACGTCCACCCTCCTCTCTGTCTTCATCCCTGTGCTTGACAGCGGCTGCTTGGCGCTTCCAACCGGCGAGTACGTGCACAGAGCACCTGGCTTCTGGCTTGCAGCTTGCCAGAACCCCGTTGGCTTTGCTGGGCGCAAACCTTTGGCTCGCAAGCTGGCTGACCGCGTGTGTGTCGTGCCGTTTGAGAACCTGACACTGGACGAGCTGACGGAGATTGCTGCCAAGCGCACAAGCAACGCCATGAGCACAGACATGCTGCGCAAGTTTGCTCAGCTGCAGGTGCAGATGCGGGAGTACACCGCACTCAAGCAAGACCCGGCAGTCACCGTGCGCGAGGTGTGTCGCTGGACACGCCGCATGCAGGCCACGCCAGACTCAGCGCCTCACGCCGTTGCGAACGGCATTGAGTTGCTGGTGGGGCGATCACAAGGCCAACCGCAGCTTGTCGATTTGGTCACGAAAGCGTTTGCCAACGAAGAAGACGGCCAGAACGTTGACAGATTGCACAGCGTAATGGCGGGTGGGGATTCCATCCCCGATGTTTGCTCTTTTACACTCCCTCGTGATGGCTGCGTGGAAATCAGATATGAGGGCCATCCAGCGTCAACAGTTCGGGTCGAGACACAGCTGCCACCAGCCGCCATTGCACCATTGCTGACAGCACCCTGCTTCAAGTCCAAGCAGTTTTGCCTTGATTTCTACCGCCTCTGCAAGTGCTACACAAACAAGGAGCCTGTGCTGTTGATTGGCCCCACGAGCCGTAAGACTCTGCTCGTAGAGATGCTGGCCAAGGTGACGGGTCGCCCGCTCTCAGCCTACACGCTTGGAACGGATTCGACGGCAGAAGAGCTCATTGGCCGCGTCCTGCCAACAACACTCGACGCGCAGATGGCAAGTGCCGTCGATGTCATCAGGCGCATCGACACCATCCTTGCTGCTCAAGGCACTGCTGATGCATCCTTGACCGGCCAGGCGTCTTTGCTGGAAACGGCTGCTGGGTTCATCGGGAGAGCCGACCTCAACTACACGGACGTGGGCCAGTGGCTTGAGCAAGTTGGTGCCGTGTTCCCTGCTGCTTCATCGTTCGTGGAGGAGGGAAAAACACTCCTCAACGATTTGCAGGTGACCCCGAACAAACAAGGTGATGAGTATGGCGATCCCTACGCGCGCACCGAGCACAACGGAGATGATAGTAGCAGTGATGGCGAAGATGATGATTGGGGTGACGATTCAAATGAGCGGTCATTACTCCCCACTTCCGCAGCGGGTGATGGCACGGAAAGTGTTAGCCATGGCAATGCCGACGATGACGAGGATGATTGGGGTGACGAAGATGCAGACGGTGATGACGATGACGATGACTGGGCCGATGATGGTGGCGCTGATGATGATGCGGGTGCCACACGAGGCAATGTGAGCAGTGACGACGACAGCTGGGGTGGTGACACCAGCGAGCACAGCTCCCGTCGCTCGTCCTCATCACTCAGTGTCATGGATGAAGAACCCCAGGACGCATGGTGGCTTCAAGAGGACATTGTGACACCAGGCAATACCGCCGATGATGAACCGCAGACAAACGCCGTGGACGTGCGAATCTCCGAGCTGAAGCTCAAGGTTGTGGTGTACAAGGTTGCCTTGCAAGCGCTGCAGTTCATCACAGCGTCTGTGTCGGCCGTTTCCGAGAGCCGTGACGAGCACACACAAATGCAACAAGAGCTGGCGGCTTGTGCTGGTCTTCTTCGTCACAGTGTGGATGCCCTCCTCAAGGAAGATGTTCAGCACTCGTCTGAATTCCAGCGCGCGCGCTTCCAATTCAAGGACGGCCCAGTCACGGACGCTGTGCGGCGTGGTGGCATGCTGCATCTGCGTGACTTGCACCGCGCCCCTGCATCTGCTGTGGAGAAGTTCAACTCTCTCTTGGAGTTGGAGCCTTCGCTCGAGACAAGCGAGTATGGCAACATCGACTGCCCGCAGTCGTTCTTCTTTGTCGCTTCCGTGACATCTGATCGCCAGCTCTTTGAGTGCGGCTTGTCACCGGCTCTCATCTCGCGCGTCACCGTCATTGACGTGCAGCCGTACACCAACACTGAGTTTCAGCACCTGGTCAGAGGCGCCCTCGGTAGCGTGGCAGATACGACGAACGAGCTTGCCCACTTCATCAACGACGTGTTTGAAGCATATGGCTCCTTCAACACGCGCCTTGCGTACCAGATGATTGGCTTTGTGCAGCGACACAAGGACCGCTTCGTCCGCGTGCAAGACGGCGTTCTTCACGCTGTGGCGGCGCTCATAGCGCCTCGGCTGGATGACGCGGGAATTGACAAGCTCAACAAGGTCGTGACAGATCGATTCCAGTTCAGACTGGAGGAGTTTGAAAAGCAACCCGTTGGCTTCTATTCACTGCCTCCCGCGCGACAAACAACGCATGCATCCTCGACACCAACGCAGCAGCCACAGAAGCTGGAAATCATCCCTGGCGAGCACATCCTGGAACAGGCACATTTCTTCTCAGCTGACGGTGATGGTGTGGTGTTCGGTCTTGGTCCTTTCTGCATCAGAAGTGTGCACACGTCCGCAGATGTGGCGCCAAATCTGCAGCTGTATCCCGGCATGAGCACCAACCACAATCTTCGCGCGATGGCTCGCGTTTTCAGCGCAGGACTGTACCCTGTTCTCCTGGGCCCACCGGCAAGTGGCAAGCTGTCCTGTGCTCGAGAACTTGCGCGTGCGCTTGGCTACAGCAACGTGACGCTGATCACATTTGCGCGTTCCACATCGAGCGAGGATGTGATTGGCCGCTACCACCAAGCGCTGGACGGGTCGTTCCGGTGGGAAGATGGCGCGTTCATGACCGCTGTCAATTCAAACCGGTTCATCGTGCTCAAAGATATCCACCTCATCAACAACGAACTTGCTGTCCAGATCGCTCGCATCCTACGCGAGCATTCAACACCCCCAACAACTGCAATGAGAACAAGCACAGCTTGTCAGGTGCCGAAGTTGCCGCTCGTGTGCGCGACTGCTCCAGCGTTGGAGAAGGTTGCAGATCAACTGCAAATCGCCTTTGCCCCGCTGCCCTTCCAACACATCCTGCCGAGCAGCCCACACCCTGATTTGGTGTATCCACTGGTCTGCCACGCATTCCGCGACATTGAACAGCTGAGTGTGAGCCACGAACTGTTCATGCCATTGGCCCGTCTATTGTGTGAACTGGTGGAATTGAGCGAGGACGACTCGACAGATCTGGTTGGCGCATTTCCGTCCTGGTCCCTGCGTGAAATGGAGAAAGTGAAGACCTTGTTCGTGCCGCTCTTCGAGACACTGCAGTGCCTGCAGTGGGTGGAGCACGACGAGCAAGGCGCAGATGACGACGAAGATGGCGGCGTGCATCTGGATCATAACCAAGCAGACAGCGGTGACCACCACGACAACTGCCTGCCTGCAGACATGCAGCAGCTGGCGCTGCAAGTCCTGACCAAAGTGGCACGGCTGGTGTTTGTGGGCGGCCTTGAAGGTCGAGCTCGTGACCTGGCCTTGAAGAAGGTGGTCAAGTGTTTTCCTCAAACAGCGCCTGACACTCAGTCGGCGGTTGTGGTGGACACAACCCTAACGCACTGTGTGCATGTGGGGTTGGTGTTCTTTCCGCGTCGCCAAGCCACGCGAGAAACGCCCGCGAACGATGCACGGCAGACCGTCTCACCGGATTTCGTGCTCACACCACAGCATGCCACAACCCTGCAGGACATGGCGCTGGTGCTGCAGGCCCACCGCAGCCTCACCATGCGTGGCCCCACGGCCAGCGGCAAGACCCAGCTCATTCGCTGGTTCGCCCGTGCAGCCAATGCACCCACCCTCGAACTCCATCTGAAGAAAGCAACGGAGATCGGAGATGTCATGGGGCAACTGCGCGCAGAGATGGGAATCGTGCGCGTACAGAGACTGGCCAACGCTGTCTCCAGCGCCCTGTGCAGCATCTTCGTTGATCTCAACACGCACGTCCTCAGTGCGCAGGAGAACGCACCTCAGCACACACCTCAGGACGCAGCGGCGCTTGCAGCTTCACTGACCCACGACATTGCTCAGCTCGCTTCGTGCATGGACAAACTCGTGTGCGCTCTGCAAGCAGGAGACGTGGCCAAGGCGATGCCCTTGAAGGATGACATCAAACAGCAACTCGCAAACCTCCAAGCCAGACTCGAGGCCTCTGCCGCACAGATTGGGCTGGATGTACAAGCATTTTCATCTGCTGCGCATGAGTTCACAGAGTCCATTGACCACTTGCTTGTGCGCCTGGATGACATGTGTTTTGACGCGGGGGATGGGCCTCTCCTGCAAGCTGCCCGCAACGGCTGGTGGCTTGTCCTGAACGATGTCAACTTCTGCCCACACGACTTCTTGCTGCAGCTGCAAGGATTTCTGGAGAACGACGTCGCTGACATGGGTGCACACACTTCAAAAGACACCACCAACGGCACAAGCGCGTGGCAGGTGTCGCCAGACTTCCGCATCATCCTCACGTATGACCCAGACCGACCAGGCGTGGTTCCGCTGCCACCCTCTGTGCGCCAGCGCTCTGTTGAAGTTGCACTGCCAGCAGTCGATGCGGTGGAGCAGAGAGACACGTTGCATCACATCATGAGCCAGTGGATCTCAGAGATTGGATGCGACTATCCACAACGAGTGGCAAGCGTGTTTGTGACCGCCCACTTTGCAGCAAAGCAGGTAATGTCACCTTCCGAGGCGGACGGTCCGTTTGCAGTGACATTCCGAACAGCCATCCGCGCAATGAAGCTGTTCCGCACCCTCATCCCTCACGTGACGCATGCCAACCTGCAGCAGGCAGTACTCTTTGTGCTGCGTCAAGTCTACGATCAGCATGGTCGCGGCGTCATCAAGCAGCCCTTGCTGGCCGAGCTCCAGCATTGGCCGGACGAAGAGCCGAGGTCACTCAACACATGCATCGTATCATCTGGCGATACTGCCATCTCAACAATTGACGACACACTTGGTGCGCTCATATGGCACATGGCGGCTGTGGCGATGAAGGACGACAGCGCAACCGCCAGCGCACAGGATATTTGTCACTGGGCGGTGGCCAGAGCCATGCAGTCCCTGAGCTGTGGTGGGGAGGAGCTGCCCCATGCTCACTTTCCTGACAAGCCGCAGCTCTTCTTCAACGCCTTCGCTGATCCCGAGCACTCCATTGCGCTTCTTGCTCTGGAAGCTCAAAGCGTGGAGATTGTGTCACGACAACAAGTGCTGGCGACTGTGCGCACTCTTCAACGCGCACTGGCAGATATTCCACAAGTGGCAACCCTGCAAGACTGCGACAAATGGCGCAACAAGCTGCAGCAGTGGTTGGAGGCATGTCAACACCTTGTGATCGCAGGTCGCACATTATCCAGGCGCCCTGGCATGCAAGACCTTGTCTCGTCCTTTGAAGGACTGGTGGCTGCCCTGAGCAACTACGTGGCTGCTTTTTCTGGACTGTTCAGGAAGGAGGTTGGTGCTCACATTCTGCTGTCTCGATTCAGAGCACTCATCGAAGCCGCGGAGCGACGCATGGAAACAGCGTTGCCTGACTCCAAAGGAAGGCTTGGATTTTTCATTGCACAAATGGAGGCAGTTGTTCGCGCCAAACTCGTGCCACTGTCCCTGCAGGACCAGTCCGTGTTTCGCATTCTCGCCCAATCCCCATCGCTCCAAGGGCTCATGCAGCATTTCAGCACGTTCCTTCCGAAAGCCACCATCCAGTTGTCAGCAGCAGCCGTCTGCCTGCGCAGGGACATGCCTTTCTCCGCTGATGAGTACACGGCCACAGCAACCACGCTTGCCAGAATGGTCAGTGCCGCGGCCACCTCAAGTGATGTTGGCGGCACTGAAGCCAACCCTCTCTTCTCCCAAGATTTCATCACAAAGGCCAACTTAATGCAAGACAAGTTTGAGGATGTGAAGGATATCCTTGGGCCGCGCTTCAACAAAGCTCGTCGAGAGTACAAGAAGGCCGTCACGGAGAAGCTTGATGACGACACCCCCGACTCTGTCCGTACATTTCTGTCAAACTGTGAAGAGCCTGCATTGGCTCCACCTGAGGAGTGTGGGAAAGAGTTTGCAGAGCTTGGGGAGAAGCGACATCAAGTGGCGGGATTGTACGAGGAAATGAATGCGCTCAAGGAAGAGCTGAATGACCTCAAGCAGTACGTGTTTGAGATGTTGGAAGAGCACGGTCCCACGCTTCAACCATCGCAGCACCAGTTTGACGTGATGGAGGCCAAGCGTGTCCTTGAAGGCGGTGCTGATGCCGGCTTTGAGGAGAGCGATAAGATCCAAGACGCCTGGCACGTTTTCCGCAACTTTGCAGCGTCATCTTCCAACACGTTCCTGGTGGTTGTGAACGCTGTGGGCGAAGACTGGCACACACAAGTGGATGTGCAGCTCCTTCGCGAGCATGGACATGACACCGCGACCGTTGTTGTCGTTCCTGCATTTCTGTTGAGTGAGCGCCACGTATCTGTGAAAGAAAGCGAAGAAGAGGTGGATGGCGGAGCACTGAAACTCAGGATCACACTCATCCAGGAAGCTGAGACCGGCGCAGGGTCCAACATGCTGGAGCAGGTCATCACTCGCGTCATGACGCCTCACCATGATGCAGACTTTTCCCTCAAGCGCGAAGTGGAGCGGTTTCAGGGACGAAGAAAAGCGCTGACAGGGCACAGCACGGCGAGCCATGTCATGACCAGAGCCATTGTTACACACTGCTCCTCGCAGCGCAAGGTTGTGGCGGCATCAAACTCGGTCGTGAAGACGCTCGCCGCCTTGAAACGGCACGACATGGAGTCTGACGCGTGGGTGAGCAAAGTTGGCTTGCTCATCGCCCACATCAAGCGCTTGCACAAGGCTGTTGACGCCAACAAGGATACTGAGCATCAAATGTCCGACGCAGTTATCGAGTTTTGGGCATCGCAGTCTATTGATGAGCGTACGAAGATTGGCTTGCACCATGCCCTCGTCAAACTGGCCAACAACGATGTTCCTGGGTCTGCCCGCATGCTGCAAGCTCTTGACCAAGACACATTGGACAAGTACCGCTGCATGTTTGCCGTGGTGCGTGTGTGCACGCTCTACGCATCACATGGGGATGCCAGCATGTCCTCCGTTCAGCCTGCAATCTCCTCCATGCTTGCAGCGTGGTTGGATGATGTTCCATCACAATCCACAATGGCCGATGCGCTCTCAACCATCCTCTCCAGCTGTCCTGTGACCCCACGTGATTTCAAGGACAATCTCTCGGCCCTGCTGCAGCTGCTTGGTCAGAAGCTCGTGGGCGGCAAGGAAGCACGTCAGCAGCTGGCGGCTGTGCTTGACCAACTGCGTGAACTGCAGGAGCAGCAACCAACACCACCAGAGCTCGATGCGGATATCAACCGGCTTTCCTCATTGCTGGATCCTGATTATGTTTGCGGTGTGGATGTGGCACATTGGCAGCGAAAGCCCGATGAATGGCGAAAGCGTTTGCGTGAGGAGAAGTTGCGCCTGGCAAAGCGAGAACTGCGCTCAATGTTCAAACTGCCAGCTCTCGAAGGCACCCTAAAACACGAGCTTGTGGACGCCTTGCAGGGGCTGGCTGCAGATGTGAAGAAGTTCAACAAATCGGCTGTGGAATGCTCAGATCTGCGGCGAAAGCTGAAACGTGTTCTGGTTGGCCAAGTTGTGGACAGCATTGCTGATCTTGTCCATCGAATCGCGGGTCTGTGTGGCGAAGGAACACGACTTATGTCAAGACTGCGAGAAAAACAACACCTCATGCTCCAACAACATGAGGTGCCAGTTGATGTGTTGCCACGCGTGCTCAAAGCGATGCAGCGTGTCGCCAGTGCCACGTGTGTGACTCCAGAAACGGCTGAGTCCGCAGATTGGTTCAACGTCTCACCAGATGAGCTGGTACTCGGGGTGGTGCCAGCTGGGTGGCGCGTCGTGTTGTCCCGCAGCTTGAGTGCTGAAGAGATTGAGCAGCAAGCAGAGCACTTTTCGCGTTGCACAACGAATGCCTTCGAACTCATGCATGAACGCTTTGAAGAAATGGAGCTCACCCTGGACAATTATGCCGAACAGGTGCGTAGTTCACTTTGTGATCTGGTCAGAAGCATCAGGGAAACGATCCAGCAGTCAGATCTGCAAGGTCGGGCTGAAACAGGGATGAGAAAGCGAGAAGCGCAAGATCAAGTCGTGCAAAAGCTGCAACAAGTCGAAGACGGGCTTGCAGCAGATGCCTCAGACGACATTGACGGCCACGCCGAGGCCCAAGAGTGCTTGAATTTGGTCGTCCCTGGCACCAATGTATCACAGCAACTCCAGCACATTTGCGGTGCACTCGATGTGATGTGCTGCTTTGACCAGTCCCAACACCAGGCCACAGAGGATTCAGCAAGTCCCTCCACAAACCTGATCCTGCGCGAAGGGGAAAGTGTTGTTGACTGCGTCCAGCGTGTCCTTCAACGAACCAACATTTCTGACCCGCACAATGTTGCCGTGCAGAGGGTGTGGTGCTGGTACTTGTCGACTCTGCTCATTGTGGGGGCGCGCAACAGCAGCGAGGTCAAGTGGGGCACGACAGATGTTTCGGAACAAGCGCGGGATGTTGCTGTGCGGTGCTGTCAAAGCGTGATGGACTTTGGCGGCGCAGTTTCCGTCACCAAACGCGCCATCAAGTCATTTGAGCATGCGTTGTCCCAATGTGACCTGTCCACCGGCACCTTCAAGTTCAGTGTGAAGGTGCTGCACTCGCTCAGCGTGCTTCACATTTTGACGCTTCCGCGGCCACTGATCGACTTTGCTTTTGCGTTGTCGCGAACCTCCGCGGTGGAAGCCAACGTGGATGTGCCTGTTGCGGTGGGTCAGTTTGTGGAGGGCACGCTTCCTGAGTATGCTCGAGCGCTGCTTCAGAGCGCCTTGTCTGGTCAGCCACCATCAGTGATCGACGCGCTGGATGAGGTACTGCCACCTCCGAGTGAGGTGGAAACATTGGACGCTCTCATGCCTTGGGAAGGTGTGCTGTCGAACATCTCCACGATCAATTTCACGCCCACTTCAGCAGGAGCTGTCCCAGCCACGACCTCAGACACCGAAGGGCCGTCCATCTTGACAGCATTCACCGCAGCATTTGCGCAACTCCTCTCCTTGGAAGTGCTGCTTCCGTGCTCGTTGGCCTTGAACCAAACAGCCAACCTCGCATGGGGTACTGCGGCCACGCGCTTCAATGAGTCACTGCAGGAAGGCCTCTCCTTGCTTCAACACAACCATCTGGGGACGCTGACCATCCAGGACGAAGAGCTGCTGCAGCTGCTCTGCTTTGGATCGGCCTTGTCCTCTCTTCAACAAGACGTGCAGCATGCCTGCACTCAAGCTGTCGAGGCAATGCGCAACGTCGTGGGTGCTGACAGCGACGACGACGTTGAGATTGGCGAGGTGGATGCGCTCTCCAAGCTAATGTACCTTTCGGTGTTTCGGGTGAATGCTGGAAGCGCTTTTGCAAAAGGGCTGGATCTGGCTGCCTGCAAGACTGCACTTCAGCGCTACAAGAAGGTTGTCTTGGAAGAGCAGCGCAAATGGTCTGAGTTTGTCGACACGCAACTTACCGCGCACGCTCATACGCCTCGCATCACGCGCTCGGTGGCAGACGACATACGAGAAGCATTGCGACTGTGCAAGAAGTGGATCTTTACTTCGTTGTGGAATGAGCTCACCCTCAAGCGCGCCATTGAACGTCACCAGAATCTGCTGGCACTGGCTGAAGAGCTGGGGATGCAGGATGTGCTGGGAGAGCTCGATGTGCACGACATTGTTAAAACACGAGGCTGGTACTCGAGTGACTTCCATGTTATCCCTCCTGAAGGAAAACTGTTTTATGTACCAGGCGGGCGGCGGCTCTTCGAGCCAGGGGAGTGGCCGGACGATTCCACGCTCCTTGGCAGATTGCCAATGGTGCGTGATCCTGTGGTCTCGCAGTACTTCACCTACCAAGATGAGTGTCGCCTGGCTGATCTTGAAAGGAAGATTCGAGCCAAGTCAGATCCTCGAACACAAGTGGATGTATGTGCACGCCGTGGCGAACAGGTGTTGCAGGATCTGCTGGTTGCAGCGGCTGACGTGAACGCCGCTCTGTCTGGGCTGCGTTCCAACGGCACCAAGCAGCTGATGAAGGCAATGACACGACTGTCACCGCCAGATCACCTGAACCTGGCCGCCAATGGAATCGAACCTGCGCTGGCGCGCGCAGCCGAAAACCAGTACACCAAGGCTGCTCGGGTTATCAGCGATGCCGCTCAAGCAGTCGAGTCCGCCGCCAAAGGTATCACGCAATGCCAACAGATGAACGGCATCATGCGCGATCTGCACGAGTTGCAGGCTCTGACAGATTCAACAACTTCCCTGCAAACTGCACTGCCAGCCATGCAGCAGCAAGTTGATCGACTGGTCAAGCGGTACTCGACCCGAGAACCAGAGCAGCTGTGCAAGGGCGTGTGTCACATGATGACAATGACCAAGGACCGCTTGGAGAGCTTTGAGGCATTGCTGAAGCAGGCAGATGAGCTGCACAAGAACGTTTTGAAGGAGTGTCCATCCGGCTCTGAGGCGAAGCAGCTGGTGGTGACCATCGCAAACAACCAGCTGTCATTGCAACCCTTGCTTGTTGAGCTGTCGGCAGAGAGTGCGACCATGCATTCCTCTGGCGACGATGCAGGTGACGAAGCTGAAGACGAGGCTGCACACTGTGATCCCGTTGCTATTCCATCATCTGGGAGTCGACTTGATCTCCAATTTGACGCTTGTCACTTCTATGGCGACGCATGCGAGCCATCCAAACGCCAGATGGTGGTGCGCAACACGTTTGACACGCACGTGCAGTTCAGGCTGGAGTTGGGCGGGGAGCATGAAGATGATTTCAAGGTTGCATTTGGCGAAGCAGGCACGTTGTCTGCAGGCAGCTCAGAGGCGATTGAATGGACATTTGAGCCAACAGCCGAGGATCAGAGAATAGCAACTTGTCACATCCACTGGGAACTGCTGGACGAAACAAGTCGCGGGGTGATTGAAATGCGACTGGTTGGCGAGTGCAGGCCTATGACCGTGGAAATGACTGTCAACGCCGACACAACAAGATGCCAGAAGCTTCCACACGATGTTTTTGAACCTTCGGTGCTCACACAGAACATCACGCTCCAAAGTCACGTGGACAAGCCGAGATGGGTGGCTCTGAACTTGGTTGGTGGCCTCAGGTTCGCCGGCACAAGCCAAACGACCAAGCAAGTTCACCTGGATGCACGAGGACAGACAACGCTGACCGCAGATTTCAAGCCACGACCGCACATAACACCAGGGGTCTATGACGCCCAGGTGGAGCTGTACCTTCACCCATCCAAAGCACAGCTGTGCGGAGTCATTCCCTTGCAGTTTGAGATTGTGGCGCCAAAGGCGAATTTCAAGCTGCTGTGGAAGGACAAGGAGGTCGACATCAATAAGCGCGTGACGTTGAGGGGAAACCAAGTCGGGCACCCCTATCGGCTTGTCCTGCGTGTCGAGAACACAGGCACAGCGCGGCTCAAGTGCAACCGAGCAAACCACAAAGACGTCAGCTTCCCAGTGCCCGTGCAGGATGTTGTCCCAGGCGGCAGCCTCGAAATTCCATTCACTGTGGGACCTGATGGAGGAATTCTTCGCCGCCTTCGTGACTTGGTCAGCAAGCCAAGCAACGCTGCGTCCATTGGAATGTCCTTGAACGACCCTGCTCAACCAACCCTCAACTTGGAGTTCAAGTTGCAGTACTCGACGCCTCAACTTCAACTGGAAAAGCCAGTCAACCTACACCAGTTGTCGTTTGACTATGACGAAGCGCAGACAGAGTACCGCCACACCTTGCTCGTGACCATCCGCAACGAAGGCAACTCGCTTGGTGTCATTGAATCTGTTGCCTCTTGTGACCGCTCAGTCCTGGCCGCCCTGCCGGATGGTGAGGATGTTGAAGTGCAAGCCAGCAAATCAGCCAACATGCAGCTGAATGTGACGACGAAGAAACCACTCTCCCGTCAAGTGACCTTGACCCTACGCACGAATTCCACCGTTACGCCAGCCCTCAACGTGAAGCTGCAGCTTGTCTTCAACTTTCCGCAGTTGCAGATTCATTCCCCAATGACTTTTGAAGGCTTTGTGTCTGGCACGGCCGTGTTCAGCAAGATATTGACAAACATTGGCTCAAGGACGTTGACTGGTACAGCCACACTGGAGGATGGAGAGGGCATGGGACTTCAACTGCGAGCCAAGGGAGGCGAGCCAGCGACACTGTTTGGCCCATCAGCTCCAACCGCTGACCAAGTCGTCGTTGCCAAGCCAGCCGACAAAGCCTCCTTCATCACCAGAGTGGAGGTGTACCCCAAGAGCTTCATCATTGAGAGTGGGAAAACCAGGACGCTCAAGATTGCCATCAAGGGCAAGGACAAACCGAACGCTCGCCAGTTTGCTGAGGCAGTCCTGTTGAGACTGAAGACCAACGAGCCAAAGCATCTCGGGCCTCGTCATGTTGGGGTTGTGGTGAGTCCGCGTCCTCAGGTTCACGTGCCACGACTTCCATTCAGCATCAACCCTTCGAGAACACGTGAATCGTTGGTGAAGCAATCATTTGTTGCTGCCTTCCAAGGGCGTGACGATTCTACGCCAGCCAAGGGTGTGGATGAGTTTCTGGGGTTCAAGGGACTGCCGTCATCCCCTGGTGAACTCCGGCAGCTACTGGCTCAAGACGAGTTTGGAGTGCTGAGGTTTGATCTGCTGACGGCAATCACCAACGAAAGAAGTGCAGCAAAGGACGACATCATGCCAGTTGTGGATGGTTTTGTGCTTGGACTCTCGGCGTGTGGGGTGCCTGCATCTATTGGGCGCGAGCTTGAAACCGCCATCACGAGCAAGAAGTCATTTGCACGGGCACTGCTTCAACTGGCTGATCATTTCGATGACGTGGACACACGTTCACTGGCCGATGCTGTAGAGCAAGTTGAGGGCACAGGGCCCAGGCCCCTTCCTGCAGGCGCCTTCTTCACACTGGTGCATGCAACAGCGTCCATGCTGGGTGTGACTGCGCTGTATCCCACGCAACCCGTGACATCCTTTGCACATGTGCGCGACCTCTTTGATCGCATCACCGCGAACGAAACAGCGCAAGCGCAAGAGGAACAAGATGCCAGCGCTTCTTCGCGACAGCTGTTCGAGGCGCTTGCGCGACTCAGCATCCACACACCGGGCATGTTGTCGGAAACCATCACCACCTGGAAGGTTGAGCAAAGCGCGTCACAGGGAGGGAACAGCCGCTCGCTGGTGAGTATCGTGACAAGTGCCGAGGCAACTGGCGCCACGGGATGGCGGTTAGCCCTCTCCATTATGAACAGATGCACCGCCGGTGCTGGTCGGCTGGGTCACAAGTTCGTTGACAAGTTTGTGCGCTGGGCCGAAGACCCCACCAACACTCCACCCGACTTCATCTTGCCGCATGCCGGGGGATATGCTTCAAGGAAAGACATCGGGGACGCCATCATGAGAGCCATCCCAGAGCAAAGAGACCTTGCTGACGAGCAAGTGCTCTCGCTGGCTCGCAACTTGTATCTCTGCAAGGCAAAGAAATCGAAGCTCAGTGATGAGCAGCGTCACTTCCTCAATGAGCTCGAACACAAATCAAGCGAGGCGATGAAGGTGCTGGATACGGCGATGAAGAAGCAAAACCCACGCTGGCAGAACATTCAGGATGGCTTTTTCAAAGGCGTTGCGCACACACTCGTGTCACCATTCACGGGTAGCCCTTCTACAATTCAACTCCTGGATACAATGTTTTCGCGTCTCAAAGACAAGGCGCCATCACCAACAAACACTGCCCTTCGTCCGCTCAAGAGCGTTGCTGCGAGCGCCTCTGCTTTGAAGACAAATTGGGCACGAATGTTTGCGCTGTTTGTTGTTCTGGACACGATGTCAAACTCAGCGCCAGTTCTCAACATAAGCCTGTCACAAGCCCTTGACCGCCATATTCAGCACCATCCACTGTTGTGCCTTCGCATGGTGCTGCAGGCCAACACCAAGAGCCAAAAGAAAAGCAACGATGTCGATCGGCTGTGCGACGCTCTGGTCCGAGTGAAAGCCACCGGGGCGCGTGAACACGCCGCACTGTTCTGCCTTCTCGAGCTTGGTTTCCAACCATCTGAATCAGGAGGTCCGCGAACGCTGCAGGAATGTTTGGAGCAACGAAAGCTGGCCGCGAAGCTTGCCCAGCTCTTGCCAGAGTGCTTCGGTTCTTCGAGGTCAGAACACTTGAAAGAAATTGCCGCCCGACTTGAGAGCGGTGATGACTCATTCAATGGTGTGGCTCGTCACATTGAAGCAGGGGACTTTGCCGCGGCAATCGATGAGTTGCCCCTTCCCAAGACACCTACACTGAAGCTGCTACTGACGAGTCTCCGAGCATCGAAACGCGCAAAGCTGGACCCCCAACTGCTGCGCTCTCCCGATGACACGATTGCCCTCGTGGAACAGCTGGTCGACTTGATGTCTGATCCTGAGCCCATGCAGACTCTGAAAAAACCTTCTGCCGTGCAGTACTTGGGCGTCCTTGCCCATGTTGTGCACCGACTACACAGAAGCGTTGATGAAGATGTCGAAAGCGATGGAGTGACCGGCGAGGACGACATTCCGTCATCGCTTGTTTGTCCCATCACGCAGGACCTGTTCGACGACCCCGTCATGTTGCACGGCAACACGTACTCTCGAGCAGAAATCACGAAATGGCTTGAAGAGTATGGCACGGACCCACTCACTCGCCAGCCATCAAGCGTGGATGACCTGATGCCAAACCGCGCCATCCGAGACGCTGTTGAAGAGTACGAACTGAAGCGGGCGGCAACTGGAAGTTGGCGAGAGGAGAGCGTGCGCGGCGAATGGGTGGAAGCCATCTGTCGTGAGTTGGATCATGTCCAATCTTGGGCGAGGGAGCAGGCAGCTCAGACACAAGCAGATGCGAAAGAGGATGAAGAAGGTGAAGAGGGTGACGGCGCGCCACCACTGCGTACCACGTCTGATGCAAGCGGAAGCACGAGCGCTCGTCCCGCCACAACACCAGCCGTGTCAGGAAGTGGGCGAGCATGGGATGATGGTGGCGGTGATGATGGTGACAGCGAGGGAACGACATGCGTCGCAACGACATGTGTGTTCTGTGCTGCTGGAGAGAGTGGCTTGAACATTGCAGAACTTTCAGCTGCGCCCACGAGCTTCTCGCACCATGGCCCATCTGGTTCCACCCATTCCAGGCCCTCGGAGAGCCACGACGACTTTGACGCTGGCCCCCTCGTTGCCTGTGCAGATGCGTTGATGGCTGCTCAACAACGCGTGTTTGAGCACATGAGTACCACGAGCATTATCGCGTACAGGACGAAAGCGGTTGCCGTCCTCTCATCGTTTGAGACAGCGATGGCAGCTGTTGCAGACACGACGCCAGCGACTGTGTGCGAGGCCATTGTTCGCAGCGGCCTTCAGCTGATTGTGTCTGCTCGCTCCATGCTGCACATACTGGAGCGCGTTCGAACAGATGCGCTCGTCTTGACAGAAGAAGAGTGTGTGGCGGTGATGGAGGCGGTATCAGCAGCGCTATTTTATGGGTTTGGCGCAGCCCTCCCAGAAGCCCTGCAGCACCGACTGCACAAGATTCAACGACTGCTACAACTGGAAGGTGTGCAGGCGAACCTGCGCCACACCCAGTTCAAGTGGCTGAAGGACGAGGACGCTTGCTCTGTTGAGGAAGAAGAAGGAAGCGACAGCACGCCCAGCACGCCCCAACCTCGTCATCGCAGACGGAAGCACGGCGACATCGACCTGCAGCATTCGCAGTCAGAGACGTCACTGGGTCACGTTGGGACGGCGTATGAAACCGGGCTTGGGAACACCAACGAGGATGAAGATGATGACGAGGATGATGACATTGTTGGTGACAACACGACAGCTTCGCAGGCAGCAAGTTTGTACGGCTTCAATCCTGATGATGCCGTTGATCGCATGAGCATCAGTCTCAGCAAGCTCATCTTTGATAAAGGTGCAACACCTGGCGACAGCGATGGTGATCACGGGCCCAGCGGTGATGGGGGTGGATCAAGGCCTGGTGCTCATGTGCCCAGGCCAGAGCACGCTGATGGTGTTCGCATTTCTTCTTCGATGCTGGCAAACGCCGTCATCAAGACCAGTACCTCCACCTCCTCATCATCAGACAGGAAGCGAATGGTCACTTGCAAGGTCAAACTGACCAAAGAGGACATTATGGCTGCGACGAAGCAGTTCCAGCATCGGCTTGGAAGCGGGGAAGTGCGATTCCGACCTGCCGCGCTCTCTGCCGATCGTGAGGTTGGAGATGTGACCACGGTCAAAGACATTGACTTCAAGGATGGGTTCTCGTTTCAGGAGTCCCTCTTTGGTCGGCTGTGTCGTGCGCACCACATGAACATCCTGTCCCTTCAGCAAAAGGTGCTGGATCTGCTCATGCAAACACACGTTCGCGGTGTGGAGGTGCATCTTGAGGTGGCCATTCTGGTCGACAATTCGCTCTCCATGCAAGGCGGGTGCGGCAACCAAGCTCGCCAAACACTGGTGGTGCTGTTGGAGGCACTGCGGCGCCTGGAATTGAAGACTGCGGTCCTTTCGTTTGCTGGGAAGGGCCAGGAGCGGTGGCTGAAGAAGTTTGAGCACGCCATGTCCTGTGAGAAGGGTGAAGAAGTGCTGCTGCGCCTCAACTTCAACCAGTTTGGCACTGCCATTGCGGATGCAATGCACTGTGCGCGCGCGCACCTGGCCGAGCGTCGACGTACTCGCGCCGCCAGTGGCAAAGCCGTGTATCCGCAAACAATGGTGGTGATCACAGATGGCCTGTCGAGCCAGTTGAAGGCGGAGGGCCAGGCCCATTCTGCGTTCTCGCAGGTGCTGTCGAAAGCTACCTCGGAAGGTGTGAAGGTTGTTGGCATTGAGATGAACAGCTCAACGACAATTGGTGGAAGCGACTTGCGCGGCTTGGCCAAGCATGGACTGGGATGGACCCAGCCAAACCTGGAGAGCATGAGCGTGGAGGTACCCAACGTGTTGTACCGGGTGCTGGAGGAGCAGTTGAGGCAGTACAGGGGTGTTGCTTCACGCCAGTCTCCATTCGATGGCAACCGCGTGCACCTGGGTGTCAACGGACGCAACTCAGCCTTTGAGCTTGATTTGCAGAAGCTGGCCAGCGATCGGTGGATTGACACGTACAAGCCAGGGCCGTACCGCCCGCCAAATGTGTGCGTGCAGGCCCTTGGTGCTCCACCGCAGAAGTGCAAGGCGCCAATGCTGCGTTCGGATGTGCTGCGGAAGATGCGCGTGACCCACACGACACTTCGACGCGCCGCAACCCCATGTGAACACCCCACTCAGTGGTACACGGACACGTTGCAGAAGTACGGCCAGCAAGTGAACATGGTGCAAGATGTGCTGAAGCAGCACCTGACGAAGCGTGCATCCATGCGCAAGAAGGCCGGCTTCACCAGCGGCAAGAGCGTCAACCCAGCCAAGCTGATGCAATGCAAGGCGACCCAATTCACCTCCACTGCGTATTGGGAACGCTACGTGCCCGAGGGCCGGCCAGCCTACCGCTTTGCACTGGCGATTGACATGAGCGCATCCACCGGTGACACGCCAACGTCCTTCTTCAACGCGCAGTCCCTGGTGCTGCTGCTGGAGGCCTTCAAGCGATTTGGGCTGCACGATACGATTGTGTACGGGTTTGGCGAGAGCGCGTGCACGCTGATGAAGGATCGCACAGAGCACGTGGACGCGACGGCGCTGAGCACCATCGTGCGCACGCTGGCGACTGTTGGGTTTGCGCAGCAGTCGACGAACGTGGCTGCGGCCATCGCCGCTGGCGTGGAGCTGTTGACGGAGGCGAATGACAACGACGCGAGCGTTGAGACGTCGACGCTGTTTGTGTTGACGGACGATGCGCCAGATCCACAGCATGAGGCTGCGCTGCGCTACGCCGCTACCCTCGGCATTGATGTGGTGCAGATTGTGATTGGCACGGTGCCCATGTCCACGCAGCGCGCGTTCACCCGCTTCATCGAAGTGTCGTCGCCGCTTGAGCTGCCAAAGGCGCTTGACATGTACTTTGAGCGGATGCATCTTCCGCAAGCACGGAGTCAAACGGTCCCCGTGCGCAGGGGTGATTTCGTGCTGAGCGATGACGAGCAGAAGGATGTGCAGGACAAGGTCGCTGCTGAGCTGGCCAAAGACAGTCCATACCGAGAGTATCTTGCTGAGAATGCTGATGAAGCAGAAGTGCGGCTTGAATTGACCCAAGGCGCAGCTGTGACCTTAGAGGTGGAGGCGGTGATTGTGATGGACTGCACCGGATCCATGGGGCACTGGATCGATGCGGCAAAGGCCCACGCCACCAGCATGATGAAGTTTGTGAGAGACCAAGCAGTGAGCAAGTTTGGCCGTGATGTGAACGTTCGCCTCGGCTTCGTTGCGTACCGCGACTACGACTTTGGAACAGTATCGGAACAGTGCCCGCTGACACGAGATTTGAGACATGTTGATGCGTTCATTTCGAGGCAAGTTGCCTGCTCAGGACGACACCGTGATGTTCCAGAGGAGGTCTTGACTGGACTCCGAGCAGCAGTGAGCATGGCGTGGACGCCGACAGCAGCGGTGAAACTGGTTGTCCTCGTTGGGGATGCACCGCAGCACGGACCGGAATTCGTCCACGAGAAGAGAGACAATCATCCAAATGGGCCTCCAGCAGGGTACCCGGACCATGGCAAGTCCCACTTGCAACGCGCAATTGAAATTACTGATGCGATGAAGGACAAGAACATTGAGCTGATCTTCACTCATATTCGAAGACAGACAGCCAAGTTTGAGGCCAAGTTGAATGAACTCCTGGACGGCAAGATGAAAACAGTCAATCTTGGCAACCACCCGGATTCGTTCGCCAGCAGCGTCCAGGAGCAGATGGTGCTCATGCTGAGCGAGCTGGGCTGAGGCAATGTGTGCGTGTGTGTGCGTGTGTGTGTGTGTGTGTGTGTGTGTGTGTGTGTGTGTGTGTGTGTGTGTTTGGACTTGCGTATGCGTGTGTTTGTTTGGGGTGAGAACTGGGTCCCTTTTGCTGTGTGCACTGATACCTCAACACTTTGTCGTTGCGGGCTTCTTCCGTGATTTGTTCTCATGCTCTTGTTTGACCTTTGTTGCCACGTTTTCGTCACAACATCACGTACCCTGCTTACATGTTATCCTGCACTTGATTCATTTGTGTTTCTTGCTTGCGTTCCACCCTTTGTTTTCGTTTGAATGAGTTTACACAACAACGACAACAACAAGTGGCAAGAGTATCACCGAGACATCATCACATTCCACAACACCCACCAAGTTCACGACACACCACCAACAAAGCCAAAACCCACGCGAACAACAGATCACATGCACGAGAGCAAGCGGGTGTGGAGGGCGGAGATGATGCCATCACGAAGATGGGTGAGCTCGAGGAGGTTGTTGAGTGCACAGACGGACCCAAACGTGAGTGCTGCAGTCAGGTCGCATGGCTGCAGCGCCTCGTATGACGAATGCAGGTGTGCCACCAAGTCGTGCGTTCCGTGCTTAGCTGCATCCCCGCTCGTGCGCGCCGCTGGTGTTGCCGATGTGCATGTGGCGTGACTGCTGCGCTCGCTGTCACATGAGCGCCAGTGGCCAAGCATGTACGCATACAGGGTGGCGGCGACCACCATCTGCAGCAGGGCAATCAGCATTTCGTTTGCGGTGCGGCTTGCGTTGCGTCCACGCACGGCCTGCACCAGGGCAGTGCGGGCAGCGTGGGCGACGATGCGTGCGAGCGGCTGGATGAGAAGCATGGCGGCGGCCAGCACAGCGACGTCTGGAGATGATGACGAGGAGGAGGAGGAGGATGATGCGGCGGTGCCCTGGTCCGCGGTATTTGCTGATGACGCGGAGGAGGTGGTGAATGGGGTGAGAGCTGCGGCGATGGGCTCGGGAAATGCGCTTCGAATGGCGGATTCGATGCATGGGCAGCGACCGGTGATGACGAAGAGCATGGCGAAGCAGCCCACGGCGATCACGGCCTCCTTGCGCTGGCCCTTGCGCGTGCCAACACCCCATGCGAGGAGCGCACAGACGCTCGCAGCGATGATGCACACGCTGTTGCAGCAGCCGGACGAAGCGGGCGTTGGGGAGGGCAGGGGAGAGGCGAGGCCAAGAGGGGCGAGGGCGCCGGCGATGCAGTGGGTGTGGAGTGCGGCCAGCAGGAACGCGCCGCAGAGCATACGCGTGTAATCACCGGCAACCGGCGAGCGAAGGAGGAGCAGCTGCGTTGCAACAAACACCACCATGACGGCCAGCACCACGTGCACGATCACGGAGAGTGATGTGCCAGACACGGCGGTGACGGCGATGGCGAGGGTGGAGGCCGACAGAAGGTTCACAAGAACGTTTAGCGGCGCCCACAGCTTCGAGTTTGCGACGAGGGACGGTGGCTGGAGCACGAGGCCAAACCAGCTGTCGAGGATGGAGCCTGCTGCGCCGTAGAGTGCGCCCTGTGCAGCACCCTGCCACGTGCCATGAGCAGCGCCGATGATGGCCCCACCAACCACGCTCATGACAGTGCCGAGCACGGAGACGGCGCCGTCGCGGCCCGTGGGGACGGGTTGGAAGGTGGAGATGAGGCGTGGTGCAGTCTTGGACAGCTGCCCAATCTCCGACGCAAGCGTGTCTCCACAGCAACAAGCCAGATACGCGAAGTAGCCCACTTCCCACCTGAAGCAGGGGGGAGGGGTTGTATGAATGTGTCGTGGGTGTGCGGGCTGTGGGTGAGCGCAGCAAGGAACGCACCAGTCGATGGCCCACAGAGTGGGAAGCAAGGGATGTGTTGGTGCGCTGCGTGCTAAGGAAAGTGTTGGGTGCCACACAAACTATAGCGATGCTGACTTGGGGGCAAGATAGCCAGTGGACATGCCGAGGCAGAGGAGAGCAGGAACGCCGCCAGTGGCCAGCACCTGCCATGCATTTCGACCTGCACGGTTATGGTCGGGAACGTTGCACAATAGAGCTGGGGTTAGGGTTGTGGTGAACGACTGGAGGTGAACGACTGAGTGAATGACTGAAGTGAACGACTGAGGTGAACGACTGAGGTGAGCGACTGAAGTGAACAGCACAGACCAGTCGGCCCAGTGCATGCACGTGCAGGCCAGTGGAGTGCGGTCTCGTGCAGGGTTGGTGATAAGTTTCACGTCGCACCCATCAGTGCGTGGTGATGGTATTGCCGTTTTGACCAGCGACCAGGAAACGAACGCGCACCTGTCGTTGCGTCAGTGTCTGTATCGCGGCGGTGTGTTTGCCGTTTGGCAGCAACTTTCGTGGCAAGAGACCTGGTGCAGATGGAAGGTGCACCTGGTGTGAGATTTCGCTTTTGTTTTGGGGTGTGCAAGGACGTGCAACGGAACGGGTACTTGGGCAAGGTGACAGCCTTCTGGACGATGGACTCAACGCAGTGCAAGTCGGCGAACAGGCATTGCATACGCGCGCGCAGGCACGTGCATTCACAAGGTCGGCAAGAAAACCGAAACCACCTTTGCCCTGCCTGCATCAAACACCTCGACCAACGTACCCGATGACGAAGAAGAGGGCCAGCATGATGAACGAGGTGCTTCCGTGGTAGCTGATGGCCACACCCACGGGGATGGCGGCAAGGGCACCATCCACCGTCAACCTGTCACACGCACACGCACACACACGCATACACACGCGCACGCGCGTATGGCGAGCCGGTATTGTTCACGGTGTGAGAGACACTGACACACGCGTCGTTCCGGTTTTTTTTTTCCTTGTCTCGGTGGCGATCGCTCATTCCCGATTCATGCAACACCCACAATGTGACCACAATGTGACATGACACGTGTGCACGCTGTGCCTTGTGCTCGTGTGCCACACTCACAGCTTGCGTCGCTGCGCCACTGCTGCCAGCAGAGGCATCGCGCAGATGAGCACGTCCATCACGTTCACTTGCACCATCTCTTCTCTTCTCTCTCTGTTTTGTAACGGCGAACGTTGTGAAAATCTGCCATGTCTTCATGTGATTTTCGGTGTGAGGAAGGACTCGCCAAGATCCACTGCGAGTGGTCTTGAGGTGTTTGTTAGGGTGTTCTGGAGCTGGGTGTTGTACTGTTGTAGTCTGGTCTAGTGTCGTCTCGTGGTATTCTTGTGGTGGTGTCGTTCAGCGCGCTGACGCTGTCGCTTGCGTCACACGCTAACAAGATTTGATCCTTTTGTTTATCCCACACGTTGAGCATTAAACATACTGGGAAAGCTGAAAGGGATCAACAGGAGAGGAAGAGGGGGGGAACAATCCAATCAAATAAAAAAAGAAAATACATGAACACAAACACCAAGTGCAGAAGTACGCGCTGCCAGGCTTTGCCAATAGGAGTACGTGGTTGGAGTGCTTGCACTTTCGTAACAACACACGGGGAGTCGGGGACACTTGCTGTCAGTCCTGCCGGAAGCTTTCCTGTTGTGTGTGCATCAGTGCCGCTCGTGTCAACCTCTAACCTCATCTGTGTTTTTTTTTTTTTTTTCTTCTTCTGTTGCTTTCCCCGGCGCAATAGCACAGCATGTGCGTTACAACGAAACAGAGCCCTCCAGCTTACTGGGAGCAAAGAAGAAGTACAGCAGTAATGCCAGGGCTTATTGACCGGAAGGAGAGCACGGAAATGCCCGTGCATGCACAGATGCACATGTTCGTGCGCGTGATGGAAGGTAGAAAGCCATGAAACACGCAACAAAGCCACGAAACGCTTTGTTACTATTATCTTTGATCTTCTGCTGCGGCAACAAGCAGTTTATCTGCAGTACGGGTTGACATGTTGGCATCCCATGAAAAAAAGAAAAAAAGATCATCAAGTCGCGACACACACAGACACACACACGCGCGCGCACACACACACACACAGAGAGAGAGAGAGAGAGAGAGAGAGAGAGAGAGAGAGAGAGAGAGAGAGAGAGAGAGAGAGAGAGAGAGAGAGAGAGAGAGAGAGAGAGAGAGAGAGAGAGAGACAGACAGACACACACACACACACGCACGCACGCACGCACGCACGCACACACACACATACACAGATAGACACCCTTACCCCTCCTCTCCCCCCTCACAAGCATGTATGGTTATGGTGTGGGCGGGGCAAGAAGTTGATGGAAGCGGTCCGTGAAAGCGGCGACATTTTCCTCCTTGACGGAAATGACGACTTGGTCGCTCGTGTTGATGACAACGCCGACGGCCCACTTGGACGTGGAGAACGTGGCGCGCGGGCGGATGCCCTCAAAGGGAACCTCAACATCAAACGCGCTCCAGTCCGAGTAGAGGATGCGCAAGGGGTTTTCGCGGAAGATCTGCACACAGCTCGCACTCACGGGCCCGCGGGCAGCCATGAGCTCGTGGAGATACGCAACCGTGTCGTTGACCCGTTCCTCCGATGTGGACGCCTGCACCTTGGCGCGGAAGTGGGCTGCGAGGTCGTACAGCGACATGCTGCGCACCTCGCCCACGGGCCGCTCAAACACGGGGGACATGACCGCTGCGTTGCCAAAGTACTCGTCGGGGATGGCCGAACGCTTGCGCATGTTCACGGACCACGACACGCCCGTCAGCTCGTCGTCCTTGGCCGCGTTTGCCTCAACAAACGCCTTCCACACCAACGCCATGCGGAGGTCATTGCACGAGAACGGCAGCCCACCAGCAGCTGACGTTGCGGTTGCGGTTGCGGTTGTTGCCGGGGGCGCTTGGTCGGGCGTCGGCTGCGTCTCAGCGGTGGCGTCGCTGGCGCCCTTGTGTTCGCGCATGAGGTGGGTGCGAAGGGCAGCAAGCTCGTCCCTGGTCACGCGCAGGGTCACGTGCTGGCCAAAAGTTGGCGGCCCGGTTGGCGGGGCGGCGTCGGCCTGCACGATGTAACCGGAGCACGGCTCGGCGTTGGTCTTGGCGGTGGCGATGGCCTCAATCGTGTCCGGCGCGACAACGGGCTTGGGCCATGCGGTGCGATGGGCGTAGTGCTCCGACCAGGCCTTCAGGAACCGGCCGATGGAGAAGCCGTCTGTGACCTTGTGCGAGAAGTACAGGGAAATGGTCCACCCGGTGCGGGCCTCGTTTGGCGCGAGGCGAGCAAAGAAGGGCCATTGCTCCATGATAAAGCGCATGGGCCTCGGACTCAGATCCAACGGCTCATCGAGAACCTCGAACGTGCCGTTGGGTACGTCGCTGTCGTCGCCGGCTTGCTTCTTCGACTCCTGTGCTTCGGCGGCGGTGGGCTGCTGGCGCAGCATCGGGTAGTGCTCCTTCACGACCTCATCACCGGCGCGGGCGATGGCCGCCAGCGGCAAGTCACGACGCCCTTCCCCCGCCTCGTAGTGCAGATCAAACTGCACATAGATGGGCGGCATCGTCTGGTCCACTGTCGTCGTCATGGCTACGGTTCCGTTGTTCTGGGTGCTGAGTGAATGTGAGCGAGTGGATGGTGAAGGCACGTGCGCATGCGAGCCAAAACAGCGTCGACACAGGCACAGACAAGCGGTCAAACACACAGACAGGCACACACACACACACTCACCCCCCCACCACACACACCCACTCGCACACACACACACACACACCCACACACACACCACGGCGATTGTTGGCGATTGTCGAATGATTTCTAACAGTTTTCGGCACGACTGCGGACGATGACGACAGGAGGAGGCAGAACGGTAGGCGGCGAGGAGCAGGTGCCGCTGTTGGGAGGCAGGCATGCAACCACAGCAGTGACAGCAGCAGTGGGAGCCGGGGGACGAGGAGAAGAAAGGGCACGGCGGACAGCGCGGCGCGTGAACGGGACAATGGATACAGCGACTGAAGCCTCCATTGCCGTGGCTTCGCCCGTCACCTTGACCTGGCGAGAACTCGGCTGCACCATTTCCCGCAAAGTGCAGGTGTGCATGCGTGCTTGCGTGTTTGTGTTTGTGTGTGCGTGTGTGTGTGTGCGTGCGTGCGTGCGTGCGTGCGTGTGTGTGTGTGTGTGTGTGTGTGTGTGTGTGTGTGTGTGTGTGTGTGTGTGCGTACGTGCTTGCGTGGGTGCCCGCGTTCGTGCTGTTTGTTGTCCACTGCCACTCACACACTGCCGGTTCACTCACACACTGCCCATTCACTCACACACTGTCATTGGTGGCGTACAGGGACACACACAGCACATCCAGATCCTCAAGAATGTGAGCGGACAAGCGCTTCCAGGCCGCCTGCTCGCGATTTTGGGTGTGTATACATGCACAGAATGAGGAAGGGAAAGAGAGAGAAACTGAGAGAGACTGAGAGAGGGGCGGAGAGGAGGAGGGGAGGAAGGGTGGCCATTGTTTGAGCTGCTTTGCTGTGTGTACACGCACGACCCTGCTGCTTGAAGTTCATGCCTCAATCTCTGAACCCACACTTACACACACATACACATACACACACACGCACATACACACGTAAACACAAATGCACGTACACACAAATACACCAACACACGCACGTGCGTACTTGTCTCGCTCGTGTGAAGGTTCATCCGGAAGTGGAAAGACGACGCTGATCGACTGCCTGAGCGGTCGCAAAACAGTGGGCGCGCTGCACGGGGAAGTGTTTGTGAACGACGAGCCACGAAGCTACCTCAACTTCAAGTGGATCACCGGGTATGTGATGCAGCAGGATGCGCTGTACCCGACGCTGACGGTCCGGGAGACGCTCGTGTTTGCTGCCAACATGCTGCTGCAAGAGCCGCGCCACCGCCGCTTGGAGCGGGTGGACCGCGTGATTCGCGAGCTCGGGCTGACGGACGTGCAGGACTCCTTTGTCGGAGAAGACATGCGGCGCGGAGTGTCTGGCGGCGAGAAGAAGCGTGTTGCCGTCGCCATCCAGCTCATTCACAACCCGCCGGTCCTGTTTCTCGATGAAGCGAACACGGGCCTCGACACGTACAGCTCGCTGTTGCTCATGCGCCAGCTACGACGGGTGGCCATGGAGCACCAGCGGTGCATCATCACCACTGTTCACCAGCCGCGCAGCTCGCTGTTTGAGCTCTTCGACGACATCATGATCCTGAGCAAGGGCGCTGTTGTCTACAACGGCCCTCGCGAGCACATCCTGTCCACCTTTGCCGCCCACGGGTGCACCTGTCCCGCACAGGCCAACCCGGCGGACTTCCTCATCGACACGGTGGTGTCGAGTGAGATGGCGTGGGCCGACGGCCAGGACGACGCACATCACGCCGCCGCAATCCGAGCGCTCAAGGAGCGTGCGAGACAGGCGCCGCCGCCACCGCTGCCTTGTGGCGACACTGTTGATGCACCGGTGAACCTGCAGGAGGAGTGGGCGCGAACGCACGGCGTCGGCTTCTGGCGCCAGCTGTACTACCTCACCGGACGAGCTGTCCGTACGACTTCCCGTAACCCGTTTTCCACCATCGCCGCCCTGTCCCAGGCCATCCTCTTCTCGCTCTTCCTTGGCGCGACGTATTTCGATCTCTCCCACAAGCAGCAGAGCATCCAGGACAGGTGTGTGTATATGTATGTGTGTGTGTGTCTCGCGCGCGTGTGTGTATTTGACTCTGCGTGTCTCGTGTGTGTATGTGTGTGTGTGTATGTGTGTGTGTGTTCTCGTGCGTGTGTTTGACTCTGCATGTCTCGTGTGTGCGCGCGCGCATATTTCTCTTAGCTCCCTCCCGCCCTCGAGTCTTTTCCCTTCCTGATACACACCCACTCACGCACTGCTTCTCTCCCGCCCCCCACCAACGCACGGCACAGGCTTGGGCTGCTGTTCTTCATCTGCATCAACCAGGTGTTCTCGCAGCTCGGGTCCATGGCGCTGTTCATTGAGGAGCGGCTCATCTTCGGCCGCGAGCGCGCAAGCGGGTTCTATTCCACGCTGCCGTATTTCCTGGCCCGTTCCGTCACAGAGATACCGCTGCTGTTCTTCTTCCCGCTCATCACCTCCTCCATCCTGTACTTCATGGTCGGGCTGCAGCCAGACGCGGGCAAGTTTGCCATCTTCTACCTCAGCCTGTGCATGGTGACGAACGTTGCGTCGTCGCTGTTCATTGCGGTCGGCAGCGTGTCGCCCTCGCTCAAGATTGCAAACATCTTTGCACCCGTCACCGTCGTGCTGTTTCTGCTCTTCAGCGGGTTTTACCTCAACACACACTCCATCCCCGTGTACCTGTCGTGGATCTCCTACATCTCCTTCATCAAGTACGCTTTCCAGATTGCCGTCTACAACGAGTTTCACGGCCTCACATTCGACTGCAACACCACCACCACCAGCACATCGCCCTCACAGCAGCAGCTGGTTCAAGTACACGCGGACGCAGCGCCACTGGACCCCTCTGTACATGGCGGCGGCGGCGGTGGTCTTGGCGAAGTGGGAACAAGTCAGGCGATACATGACGTTTTGTTTAGGGGCGGGGGAGCTGTGGTGGCGGAAGACGCATCCCTCGCCGCAACACCATGCATCCCAACAGGCGACGACGAGTTGCGGCTGCTTGGGTTCGACACTGTCGACATTGGTGTCAACTTTGCCATCCTCGCTGGCATGATTGTGCTGTGTCGCGTGATTGCGTTTCTCGCCCTTCGCTTCTCAAACTGGGAGAAGCGGTGACGCGGGCATCTGTGCGCTGGTTTGCTCGTGTGTAACGTCATGTTACGTTGCGTTGGTGCGTGCGTCTGTGATGAGTGTTTGTTTATTGGCGTGTCTGGCTGTGTGTGTGTGTGTGTGTGTGTGTGTGTGTGTGTGTGTGTGTGTGTGTGTGTGTCGTTCGTTTTGGCTGTGGTTCGTCTGTCCCTGTTTGTATGGCGTGCCTGTGTGTGTGTGTGTGTGTGTGTGTGTGTGTGTGTGTGTGTGTGTGTGTGTGTGCGTCCGTTTTGGCTGTGGTTCGTCTGTCCGTGTTTGTATGCGTGCCTGTGTTTACGCTTGATTGTCATGTGTTTGTGTTTTACTAGCGTGAAAGGCAAGCATCGGGAACATTGGTCGTATGCGACACGGAAAGCGGCGATGGTGCATGAATCAAAGACGAATTGAATCGCTGCATGTTCGTGGAACAAGCAAGCGTACAGGTGATGAGTGTTGCGTGTGCTTGCTTCCCAAGATGAGGGGAGAGCGACAGACCCATCGGCGGAGACAACGCGTGGAACACACAGATAGACACACAGATACACAGACACATGTGTGTGTGTGTGCTAGAGGTTGGGAGCGGTGTCCTCCTCTGTGTCGAGGACGTAGTTGGCCGGGCTGTGCACATGGTGTGCTGTGACGCTGTCGACCAGCCAGTAGAAATCACGCACAACATCCGTTGGAACGTCGACCAGCGAGTCAAGCACCTCATCTTCCACCCCTGGGGAATGCGTGTGCATGGAGTAAGGCGAACACAACAAAAGAACCCACGCGGCAGATCCTGTACGCACACACACGCACGCACACACACACGCACACATACATACACACACACACACGCACACACACACACACACATACATACACACACACACACACACACGTACGTTCCGAGTCGACGAGGATGACGGTGGTGTCTGGGGCGGTGGTGCAGGCAGCAACAGCGGCGCTGAGCGGAACAACAGTGCACCCGGCAAGCGAGGCCACGCGACGGAACTCGCTCTGGATCTCGGGCGACTCAAACTGCCCACGAGGGACGGTGTGTGTGTGTGTATGTGTGTGTGTGTGTGTGTGAGAGAGAGAGAGAGAGAGAGAGAGAGAGAGAGAGAGAGAGAGAGAGAGAGAGAGAGAGAGAGAGAGAGAGAGAGTGTGTGTGTGTGTGTGTGTGTGTGTCATCGACTGATCAAGTGGTGCCAGACTCAGCGAATGAAGTTTGTGCATATGCAGTGATCATCAACAGTTCAGCGACTGTCCAGCGATGTCACGCCATCATTCATCCACTCCCTCCCTCCCTCACCTGTCCAGCAAAGGCAATTGTGAAGCCCGTCAGCAGCGGAGACGACGAGAGGCGCGAACTTCTGGCGCCGGATGACGGCGGCACCGGCGGTGCACTCTCGCTCGGACTGCTCGCCAGCCCTGATGGTGATGGTGATGGTGGTGGTGGTGTTGGTGTTGGTGTGTGTCATTAGTTAGTACATATTGTGTTTGCGTGCGTGTGCGGAGGTGTGCGCGTGCGTGGTTTTGAGCTTGGGCGAAGGCTATTTGTTCAGACAAGACATGTAGCAAAACATGTGGCGGGACGCGAAGAAGCAATAAGGAACAGCCATCCACTGCATGGTTGCATATGTATCCCACACCTTGCATCTCAAAGGCTTCTTCGTTTGCACGGCGATTTTCAGTGTCACACGCATACAACCATGCCGGCGACACAATCCACTGTACAGCAACAGCAGCGATGTTCAGGTGAGAGAAGAGAGGCAGCGTCAACGAAGCGACAGACAGACAGACAGACAGGCAGGTAGAAACAAGATAGATACACACCCACACACCCACAACCAAGCCACACTAACACCCACACCCACACCACACACAACCAAGCCACCCCCCCCACACACCTACACACATACACCCACAATTAACCACACACCTACACACATACACCCACAATTAAGCCACACTTCCCTTTCTTCCCTCTCTAAGCAAACGCACCTTGCCAGAGGCAATGCCCATCATGACTTTGAGCGTATTTGAGATGAGGAGATGATTTTCGTCGAGTGCCGCCAGCACGTGTGTCACGCTCTCATCAAACTTGGACAGAACCGTTGCTCCCATAGCGTCTGCAATCGCCCGCGCGCGCTGCTCGACATCTCGCGGCACACCCGTCAGCAGCAGCACACACGCACGCAGCGGTCGCGATGGTGGCGCCAGCGACGTCTCCTTGATGGAGCTCACCGTGCTCGCAGCACTTGCAGTTGTCGCGGTTGATGTTGAAGCCGTTGTTGCCTTCGACCCATCGCCCAACGGCCCCCGCTGCTGCTGCTGCTGCTGCTGCTGTACCACTTGCACGTCTCCGGCCTCACTGTGTTGGCTGTGGACAGGTGTTGGTGCATTGCTGTTCCCGTTCAGCTCCGCAGTCACGTCCTCGTCCGCTCTCGTCGTCTTCTCCTGCTCATGAGAAAGCGCGTCACCATGACCAATCACCATCGCACCATTGGCGCCGCTGCCAACATCACCGTCAACACCATCAACACCATCGTCATCATCATCCACAACATCTTCATCGTCCTCCACCACGAGTGTCTGTGCCGCGTACGCCTCTTCAGACGGCAGGCGGCGCAGCGACACACGACCCGTTGGAGGTGTCGTGTTGTCGTGATGGCTGGTCTGATGTTGGGTGCAAATCTCGTCTGGTTTGTTGGTGGCCCCTGCTACTCTCTTCACACGAACATCGACATTCACATTCACATTGCTAGTATGCTCACTGATGCCGCCACCACCTTGATCGGCGCCACCATCTCCACCAGACACCGCAACTCCCGTTGCTGCTGCTGCCGTCGACGATGTTGTCGTCATCTTCCCATTTGACCGTTGGGAGAGGAGCAGTGCACGTGGGAGTTCGCTCGAGTCCGCAGGCTCGCACGACGGCATGAGAGGCGACAGAACTTGCAGCTCATCTCCATCGTCGTTATCGGAGCCGCCTTTCGCCCGCGCTGCTGCTTCTGCTTCTGCTGCTTCTGCTGCTTCTGTTGTTGTTGCTGACGTGCCTGTGGCTGGTGTTTGCCCGTTTGCTTGTGTGTGCTGGCTGCTATTCCCCTGCTGCTGCTGCTGCTGCTGCGACGGCGGTGGGGATTGTGTGCATGAGTCCAGCGTGGGTCCACGTGATGTAAATGCCCGCGGTGGTGACTGCGTGAGCACGGTATCGTCCTCCTGCTCGTCGGCTGCGTGCGCGTTTCTGTATACGTGTGTCTCTGCTCCGGGCGCGTCGTGCAATGGAGTGGCAGCACCATCGTCGCTGTCACTGTCGCCATCAAACATGCTTGGGCCGCTGTCCAGGTCCAGTGCCAGCACGTTTGCACGGCGCTGCGGGGTTGTGGCGGCACTCCCGTCACCCCGCTCTTGCTGCGGGCGAGGGCTTTGTGGCGTGTCCTCGGTTTCGTCATACACTGCAATGCGGGTGCGAGTGCGAGTGCGGGTGCGGGTGCTCGTGCTGGGACTGGCGGGTGCGTGTGGAGCTGTTGCGTTGTCGTTCACATTTGCTGTGGACGCCACCATCTTCGCCTTCTTCGGACGAGTGCCGCTGTCAGCGATGGCCGGGACGCCAGTGGTGCTGCTGTCGTGTTGGTCGTCGTGGTCGTGATGGGCTGCAGCAAGTAGTTGCCGCCGCGACGTCCTTTTGCCACGCTGTTCCGGTGTCTGCAGTGAAGGGGCCAAGCGTAAGGTGTGTGTGTGTGTGTGTGTGTGTGTGTGTGTGTGTGTGTGTGTGTGTGTGTGTGTGTGTGTGTGTGTGTTTGTGGTTTGGGTGGTGGTGGAGGTGCGCCTGCGTACGTGCGTGTGTGCGTGCGTTTGTGCGTTTGTGCTTTGGGTGGTGGTGGAGGTAGCAGCGCAGGCAATTGTTGCTTGTGTTTGTCAGAGCGCATGGACGGAGCGGATGCCCCCATCTATGACGGAAGGAAGTACGGCACGAACCAGCAGCCGTTTCACAGTTTGTGGGGATCGCATGAACAAGCTCGGCGAGAGAACACCTGCAAAACATGACAGGTTGTGAGACGGTGAAAGACGTTTGAGGGAACGTGGAAAGAGATACGGGCTCATTCACGTCAGGGGGGATGGGAGGGCGTATTACGGCCTACAACACACACAGAGGAGAATACACGCATGTACATCCACACACACAGAGGAGAACACAGCATGTACATCCACACACGCACACACAGAGGAGAATACACGCACACACACACACACACACATATGCAGGCTCATGGAATGAGTCAGGGGACACTGACCATCGGCGTCATGCCGAATGGCAACGATGGCAGCCCTCATCTTGTCAATGACGGTTTCCAGCGTTGGGCAGTCACTGAGCCCTCGCTTGGTCAAGTCTGCCTTGCACAGTGGGCATCGGCACTTGCTCTTCGACAGCTCCAGGTGTTTCAAGATGCAGAACCTGTGCGTTGTTGGCAGAATTGACTGTCACAAACAACGAACGGCAAGCGAGGAAGGGAGGGGTAGGGGTTTGGCACACTTGCGCAGTTCAAGCAACACATGGATGACAGCGCACGGAATGAGACGTACTTGCAGTACACGTGGTTGCACCGCGTTCGTTGTGGTTGCTTCAGAACATCCTTGCTGTTGAACACATAGAACCAACAATAACATCAATGGTGGGTCATTGGGTGGGTGGGAGGAGGGGGGAGGAGAGGTAAGATGGGAGGGGGGACTCCAGAGTGTGACACTGCACGGCTAGCTGACAACAACACACGCACAAACACACACACGCACACAACAACACACACACACGCACACACACACACACGCACAAACACACACACAGCTCAAACATACCAGATGCCACATTCAAGGGCTTTGGACACCCTGAACACAGCGTCTTCTAATGCAGTCATGCTGGTCGTTGTGCTGGCTGGTGGAGGAGTTGTTGTCGGTCTCAACTGCTGTCTCACTTGTGTGCGCGCGGGGTTTCAAACGGTTGGCGCGCCAGGAAAGGCAGAAAATGTACTTTTCATGGTGTCGTGAACAGCGACTTTGAGCGGAACGTGCTGACTGGTGGCTGGCAAAAACCTTCTCTCGCCACGTGACAAACCAGGGGTGACAACATGGCTCACCGGTCGAAGCGGGCCAAGAACAAGGTGAGTGCGCCTGTCTCCTGGGGCGTCAGTGCTGGTTGTGTATGGGCTGGCATATCAAGGCACGTTGTGGCTTTGAAGGTGGGCGCAAGAGTTGGGATGGCTCGAGACTTGTTCTGGCAGGGGCAAAGGTCGTTTGTTCATGTCATCAGTCAATCAACACGAACCTCATTCACTCACCGTGCATTCGTGCCATTCATGACATCATGGATTTAGGAGCTGGATGGCCGATGTGTGGATGAGCGATTGAAGGAGGAGGCCAAACCTCGAATCGATGGACGTGAGCTGCCTGCACGATGCTGCCTGCAATTCTCTCCACTGTTTACCATGACTTGCATGACACTGTCGATGATCTCACACGAACACCCTGCACACACCACGCACCACCACACCACCACCACACCACCACACACACACACATTACACAAACATACACACGCACCCACACACACACACACAATCCTCTGCACCACGGTGTTGTTGCTGGCTGGATAGGGTTTCGTCGTGTGGATCCGTATTTGTATCGGTTTCAGTGCTACACAAAAGGGCGGTGGATTGGGCGCACCATCTTAGAAGTCTTCGCCAAGGAGTTTCGAGCCAACACACGCGAATACTACGTGTGTGCGTGTGTGTGCGTGTGCGTGCGTGTGTGAGTGAGTTTGTTTGGGTGTGTGTGTGTGTGTGCGTGTGTGCGTGCGTGCGTGCGTGCGTGTGTGTGTGTGTGTGTGTGTGTGTGTGTGTGTGTGTGTGTGTGTGTGTGTGTGTGTGTGTGTGTGTGTGTGTGTGTGTGTGTGTGTGTGTGTGTGTGTGTGTGTGTGTGTGTGTGTGTGTGTGTGTGTGTGTGTGTGTGTGTGCCTTGGCGTGGTGTTCGCACAACGCAACATCGCGGCGTGTAGTGCCAAGGGTTTGGGAAGTGAGTCGTGTTCTCATGTTGCATCTCATGCTGCTCACGTGCGGTTCCTCGTATCCTCCAACGCTGCCTCGTCGCATGCTGCACCAACAAATTGATGTTCAGGTCGACCGCACACGGGGCGGATGCACCAAATCCGCGTCCATCTCAAACACCTCGGTCAGCTGCACCAGCATCACCACGTCTTACGTGCTCTTCGTGGTTCTGACACGTACACACCCTCGACCGCGTTGTGAGCTCACCTCAGTGGCACCGCCACAACGTGATCGACGGTTGCTTGTTTTGCAGGGCATCCGATTGCAAACGACCCACTATATGGACGGCGTGTGTGGACGCGCGACGCAACGCCCGCTGCTGTTGCTGCCGACCTCGATACGGCTCTCGAGCAGCGCGAACGGGCACAGGAAGACGCAAAGGTACGGCAAGACGCAAAGGCAAGACAGAAATCGCGGGGGCAGGGGGATGTGGCTGCAGTGGAGCAGGGAGGAGCGCGGGGTGGCGAGGAGCATCGCATGGTGGGCTGCGCCGACTGCAATCGCGTGTACCCGGACCCAAGCGACGAGGACATGTGCCTCTATCTTCACGCGTGCAAGTAAGCGAGCAAGGGAAGCACTGCACGTTTCTGCGCGTGCATGAGCGAGCGAGTGAGTGAGTGAGTGAGTGAGTGAGTGAGTGAGTGAGTGAGTGTGTGTGTGAGTGAGTGAGTGAGCGAGTGTGTGCATGTGTGGTGCCCTCACGGTCAATGCACTGCCTCCTCCTTGCCGCTCATCACGCCTCGTTTCAGATTTACGTGTTCGGTTGGCACGTTCACCACGCGGGTGCCAAGTTGGGCACAGCAGCCCAACAACCCCAGAACACCATCGCAGCAACAAGAACAGGAACAGGAACAGCAGCAGCGGTGGTGGTCATCGTCCTCATGCTCTCTCCAGTGAACACATGATGCCGGTGGTTTATCATCGCTCTTGCATGTCCATAGTCCTCCAACGAACACCCCTCTGCTCTGTGGCTCACTCGAGAAATAAACGCAATGGTGTGTTGTTGGTGTCTTTCTTGACGTCTCTCGCGGTCAGTTCGGTTCGTGTATTGGGATGGGAGGAGAATTGACGCATTGTTTTGAATGGAACCCGCATTCACAAGCGTAGCGAATTAGAGGGAACCGAAACAAAGACAAGGAAGGAACAAACGAGGGGAAAGATGGCAGTGTTGATTGTAGAAAAGGAGGGTAAAAAGGGGGTGGATGGCATAACTTGTCACAAGTGTTGAGACAAAGCCTCACTCACTGGAACCAAGCCAAAGGGGGAGCATGCGCTTACGAGTCGTAGGTGCAGATGCCAACGCCCTGGATGGGCTTGCACGAGGCGTTCTGGGGGCAGCCGCCATCGTTCTCCTCTGGGTTGCAGATGAGAGCGCAGTTGGTTGGCTGGGAGGAGCCCTGGGTCTCGAGGACGCACTCAGGCTGGGCAGTGGTGCCTGGGGGAACGTTGGTGGGGCAAGGGGAAGTGGAGCTGCAGGATGGGGAGCAGAAAGAGCCGCTGATGCCCTCAATGCGGACGGCCTGCTCGCCAGAGTGGCAGCCACCCTGGTTGGGGTCCTCGTAGTCGTAGTTGCCGGGGGATGGTGGGGATGGAGGAGATGGAGGGGAAGGAGGAGAGGGAGGGGATGGGCCAGAGCTGGCA